TTGTGTGCTCCGGTACTACACCATAATTGAGTGCTTAATGAACTCTTGCATATGATTGGTGTATCTTTTTAGTTCTACAAGAATATACCAATCGAATACAAGAACTAACGACATAATAATGCTAGTGACATCATTGTTATTGGGTTCAGAAGACACAACGGTTACACAACGGTTGAGTAATTAGTCAACGTAATTGGTCTAAAGTTAGGGATCTAACAGTAAGGACCAATAATCACTGACCGCTTAATGATCAGCTATGTTTTCTGAACGCAGCTAATGGCTGATCAGTGAGCAATCGGTGATTATTGGTCCTTACTGTTAGATCCTTAACTTTAGACCAATTACGTTGACTAATTACTTAACCGTTGTGTAACCGTTGCGTCTCTTGAACGCACCCATTAAGTTAAAAAATTATGGCTCCTGCACACAGGACGCGGTAATGCTTGCCACGTGGTGGAAGTTCGCGCGACAGCCAATCAATATGCTGCTTTCCGCAATAACCTTCTAGCTCTTACGGAAAAACAACATATTGAGTGGCTGTAGCGTGGACTTCCGTCGCGTGGCAAGCATTACTGCGTCTTGTATGCAGGAGCCATTATAGCATGTTCGACTGGCTCTGGGTTAACCCACTCTGGGTTATTCAGCCAGATATTCAGCCGTTTATTGGTTGAAGAAATACTTATAAGCTTTATGATTGGCTAGTAGATACTTATGACGTCATTAATCGCTCTCGGAGCGATTAACCCAGAGCCAGTCAAACACGCTATTAGCTTACAATGAGCGATGTAGTATTGAATATACGCCTTTAGTCTAGTAGAAGGTTCAACATAACCTTAAAATGTATTCAGTTCAGTAGCATCAGAAATAGTAACAGATAAAGTGCATATTTGACATTGTATCCTTTATGAATTCTAATAAGAACGCTATACAAGCGTGCAAATCGATTTGTCGACGAAGGTGTTTTATCGTACGATGTGTGCATATTTTTATTTAAACAATTTAAAAGCGATGATATCAATCTGATAGTTTTCGAAAGTGCGACAACAATGATTTAAAACTACTCGCTGAAAATTCAACACAAACATAAAAAGAGCTTGCAAAGCAGTTGAGTGACATAGCAAAACATTTACAAACGCCTACACAAGATGGAAAAAACCTAGAGCAAACGAAAATAGGATAATAAGAAAGATCCAAAACGAAGGAAAAAAAATGAGAAAAATCTAAAAAATAAATATAATATTACATTATAAATATCACAAAAAGTTAAATTAGAGAGCTAGGAGAAAAAATATTGTATATCTAATTTATAATCTCCTATAATTGTCACGCTGTTGAGACGTAGATCCTGACGTTAGAGTCGAGTAGATGAAAGGCAAAATGGACGCGAGTGCTAAACAAAGACCAATCACTGGCCGATACCATACCCAAGCAAAACCAATCACTAGCAAACTGATAGACATGGAAACTGATATAGTGAGAGACTCAACCGCTATTATGCCGCAAAGAAAAGTTGAGTTTAGTATTATTGTTTTTAGTATGTTTGTCAAACACGTCGCTGCCACAAAGAGCACTAGCCATCCGAGCCCTCTGCAATAAAAATAATATATTAAGACTTTACAATATAGTATACATTAATATTTTGTAATAAATAATTTTTTGAAACATCTTAAGGAAAGTCATACTTGAAAACTTTACTGACAAAATACTGACTTTCTTCTGCAAAGTTTACATTGATTAGTTATACAGAATTACAAATGCTTTTATGAAAGTGAACTGGAGTATTGCTCAGTGCTCTCGAGTTGTCAGTAAATATTTGCCTGATACAAAAGTTCTGCAACTTGTACATTCTAAATGAAATGTGTTTACTCTGCTCATGAAAATTGCTATGATCTTACAATTAAATCTAAAAGCTTAAAGATATGTGAAAATGTTTACAGAAAAAGATTTCTGTATATGCGTAGTTATGTTCTTCACTAAATATAGTAAATTTTTGGTGTCCTCTTAATACAATACATAAAATATTTGCTTTATTATATTTTTGTAACATATTACCTAATGGTCCAGGTTCGCCAATAATTGTGCACATGCTCCAAGTGAAACATCTGATCCACCGAAATCTTGTGCTTTCGTTGCAACAAAATTTCCTCGCCGTGGCGTGTGTAATACGGCTTGATGACGTCTTTCTCCAATAGACCAACCACCGAATAAACTTCCCCGCCTTTCCCCGCGTAAGAGAATTGTATCCTGATATCTCCTACCTGTAGGCAAAGCAATGAAGAATTTTACAGATAAAGGAAAATAAATCAACTCAAGAAAAAATTAATGATACAAATCCAAATTTCTCTCAAACAACGTACTTGTGGATTCCATAAGTCTGTGCTATGATAATACAGTCCTGAGTGCATTTTAATGTCTTTTCGCTCCGGTCTCTCGTCGCTAGTAACTTCTACGAAGTCATTAAACTTCTTCTTTAGTTCTGTTCCAAATGTAAACGCGCCGATCTTCACCTCATCCGCAATCTGTAGCTGGCTCTTTATTGGCATTTCCTTTGGATTATGATGACCTGTGCGAATGTAGAAGTTATCCGAGTCTACCAGTTTATCCTTCCATTCCATCGTATAATAATAGTGTTTTTCATCCTCTGTTGTGCCACCAAAGCTGAAATAAATATCTAGTCAATTCAAACTCAACAAACTTTTGGATTTTAAGCTCTACCTTGCTTCTTCTTCAATCTCAACCCATTGATACATCTGAACTCTTCTTTTTAACTTCACACTAGACATTACAATTCCATAATCTGGTTCTGTTAGTGGCTCCGAAACCAATAAGTGCCCTGACAAGTACACTAAACGACCTTGGTATTCAGACAACAAGACTGCTGGATTAGGAACTACAACTATATTGTGCAAAGCCTCATCTAAAGAATATGCAACCCTCACAGCTCTTCCCTGAGGAAACAAAACATTATAATTGTGAAATCGGTTTGTTGGAATACTCCAACAATAATCTTAATAACAGAGTATAACCTCGTTCCAAAATAGAAGACACATTCCAGTAGCAAACATTATAGATCCAATTATGACTGTGAGCCATGATTCTTTAAATTGCTCAGAAATTGTTGCTGGCACATTCACAGAGGTAGATTGTCCGCCAGTGAGACGGTTTTGATGGAATCCGTCGACATTTCCTCTCTGAGGCTGGCCATTTTGCTACAAAATATATCCTTCACGAATCTGTTTTATTCTATCAATCTCGATATTGATACAGTGAAACAGTATTGTTTAATATTATCAATGAAACAATTTTACTTACATTTGTGCGATACATCTCAATGCGAGATGTCATGAAACGAGTCGTACTATTTGAAAATAGATTCTCTCTGCTTTATCGATGGACCGTACTATTTAACATCCACTCCTTCAGAGGACGCATCAAAGGCAGCGTCTCAAAGAATCCTAATAGCATGATCGTTCTCTGGCTTCTTTTTGTTTACCAGTTTGTGTATACACCCTCCTGTCGAAATGACAGCATCCTGTCCAACGTAGTCATGAGTGTCGTGTATGATAAGTGCGCAGTATGTATAAACAATTTTATAAATAATATGATTATTATTATTATTTCCACGCTAAAAATTGTATTTTATTAGAAGTTTTTAATCGTAACGTTGTGTATATAAATAAATATTTTACATAATCGTGTGTTGGCACTAATTTATTATTATTATTATTGCTACGACTGTTGTACTAATTATGTTTATTTGTTTTTACTAGGATATTTTTTTATATGATATTATTTTGATCTTATATATTGTAGATATATTCTTTAGTCGAAAATGCAAATACAAGATTTGATTAACAGGTTATATAATAAAAATTAATATAGAACTGGTTGAATAAAAAAATCTGTGTGCAAGATTTTCTATGTTTCAAAACTTATTTTATTGTTATGTTTGCAGATTAAATTTGCAGATTAATTTGTTGAATTAATGTTTATCCTAATGACTTTATATTATATGAATTACCTTGAAGCATATAATTATAAGAGAACAAAAGACTAGAAGTTCTGAAAATTATTAGTAAAATTCTTATTTGAAATATTGTATATATTGGTCTAACATAAATATCTTTTTTTTCAGGTCAACATAAAAGCTTGTGAAAAATACTGTACTTAACTATGATGATTAAGTAAGCAATATAATTGAACAGAAGGTTCTGTTAATGTTCATATATGATAGCAAGTGAATCAATAGCACAATGTCAGTAGCAGTTAGCCATTTGCATAATATTTTTAGCATGCAAGATATAATAGAACTGGTAAAGCTCCTTCGTCAAAATGGTGACAAGGTCTTAAGTGCTTCCAGCAAGCTTTCATTATCAACAAAACTGCTACATAGTCTCAATGAAGCATTCTCATTAATTGTAGTAGAATCTGAAGACCTGGAAACCTCATTTCATGTGTGTAATAGTTCTAAAATAGATATATTTCGTGATGTGAAGTTCCTACATGATTTTGTGCAAAAAACTATTGGTTTAAAAGTAACACACCATTCATCTGATGCTAAAGTTACCATTGACATCTCTAAATTTCGACATTTAAAGTATTTAGAACTAAAGAAGGTACCTATTGAATTAGTGAAAGGCCTACAGAGTATCAGAGGTCAATTAGAAGGCATTGTTTGTGCTGGAAGGAAAGGAGTATCCACAATCAGTCAATTATTAGGTAATTTTTAAATATATAGCTTACAATATATAATCCAAAGCTTCTTGATTTAAATTTGATGCAGTTTTTCTTTGTTTACAGCCGTATGTGGAGCCGATGCTGGTGTTGGATTTGTATGGGCATCCCTGAAGCATTTAGCTTTGCCACATAATGTTCTCAAATGCTTGGATGAATCTTTAGAATTAGCACCTTGGCTTCAGACATTGGATTTGAGTCATAATATGATCACTAGTGCTGAAGAAATATCCTGCTTGTCAAACTTAAAGTATGTTAATCTAGGCTTCAACAGATTAGAAAGTATACCTCTATTCAACAAGGTAGTGTTACATTCACTACAAGTCTTAGTGCTGAAGAACAATTACATCGACAATCTAAATGGTTAGTTATTAAGTCTCAATAACGATACTATTCTGCTGCAAAACTGTCCAATGTGAAATTCTCTAAGTACCATCTACCATATAGGTCTTCAAGGTTTAGAATGCCTGACAGAGCTAGACTTATCATACAACTGTTTAACGGAGCATTCAATTCTTTGGCCACTTCAAAGGATGTCTGCACTGTTGTGGATGTCATTGGAAGGGAATCCTCTGTCGTATCATCCAAAACATCGGATGTTATCCTTAAAACATTTGCATCCGAACTTGTCAAATAGCAAAGTACTATATAATCAAACTCACAAAACGCAAAATACAATATTAATTTTTCAGTTGTAACGTGATATAAATTCGAGAAATTCCTAGTTTGTTTTAGATCATCTATTACTTTCGAAATCGGAGAAGATGTATGTCGCAGAAAATCGAATTTTTACAATGTGCGCAAATCAATCCGCATCATTGACCAGCACAATATCTGTAAATGCACACGAATCCAGCGAGAGTGGGTCCGATCATCGAATAGTATCGTTACCTGAAAACCTAGAAAAGAGTTTAACGAAAAGTAAAAGGAAGTCGAATTTAAAAGAAGCGATCATCGCTGAAGCCGATCAAGAAAGCGAAGAATTTAAGCAATTACCCGATGTAGTGGCGTCTTCTCATTTAGGTAATTGTACTTTTTACAACAAGACGCAATAATATCGGTATATTTTACTTTTAATTCAGTGTAATAATAACTTTATTTAATAATCGATTAATGATTGAACATGTTAGAGCAAAGAAAATAATACATAATTTTTGTGACATATTAAATTAGATTTTGTTTTTCAGAGACGTCGACCGATCATCTAGAGACGAAAAAGCGTATGTTAGCCCTCCGAGAAAAGTTTGGCGAAGACAACTGGTTGAGTAGTCACGCGGGAACTTTTGTTCAGGACATCATGGGTTTGCAATCCGTCTCGCAATCTGCGACATTGCCAGTAACGAAGATACAAACTTTGGCTGATATTAATGTGACATCGTCTCTTCACGAATCACTGATTTACATGATGGACAGCGAACAATCTTTCGACGAGTCCGAGTCACAAGAAATCGCAGTGCAAGCGGAAGTTGAACAAGAGGATGTCCCTCAACACGAGGAAACATTGCTTGACGAATCTTCGGAAACAGAGGAAACTCATGCAACCGAGTATGATCTTAAAGAAGGTAACAGTCGCGCAAAGAAAAATTAAATTATCAAGCAATGTTATCTACGATGCAATAACTCTGGTAGCTTTTCAGTTGCATTTCCACAGTCGTCCCTGAAGTACTAGTATCTTTATTTTCTTCTAGAAACTGCAGATGTATATCTTGTTCACAAACGAAAGAATGACGATGAGAAAGAATACGTTTTCCTGACAATAACTCCCACGTAAATTGCTGTTTTTCGCATATCTGAATTTATTACATCTTATTCTGACATTTCATAATATTGTTAAAATATCACTTTATCATGAACTTTACAGAGATATCAAAGAAAGAGAATCGAACAATGGAAAAGTTAAATATTCTTGGTCGACAAATTCCGTGCTATCCTGCGTCTTAGGTAGAAGCAAGTCACCCACAGTTGATATTATTTTTGACACTACGCGGAAAGATAGAGAGAATAGGCGGTATTTTGCAGAACTGAATGACGCAAAGGTACTGAAAAAGTAAACGAATGCAATTCTACATTAGATTTACAGTCTATGTATAATGTAAGTATATTTCAGGAAATCGTAGCAACGATCAGCAAACAGCTCGAAGCGCGGCCGATGTTGTTGAAAATCTTCAAGTGCATGAAATGCTCGACACAGTTTTCGCAAGATGCGGAATATGTGAGGCTCGCTGTTACATCGACAGGTTTGTCCATCATAGGCGTAAATTTGAAGATAATAGCAAAAGTAACAATTCTTTCAGGTGTGAAGATAATAGCAAAAGTAACAATTCTTTCAGGTGCGAAACAATTCAAGTGTCCCGCTTGTAACAGCAGTCTAGTCATCGAAACGGAAACTTCGCCTAACGTGGACAATCAAACGGAAAATTTTGTGGGTGCCAGTCTGCAACACTCCGAATCATTCTCTAGTATCGGTAAGCCTCCTCGTGCTCGCAGCATGCAAACTACTTCAAGCTATATAAAAAAAATTAATGTAGAAAGCTGTACACACAATCAACTGCATAGCTCTTGACGATCGTATAACGCAATCCTTCCGATCTGCAAGATTAAATTTATTGCTATTGAATAATCGTCCGCAATTTGAAGTTTTGCAAGACGATGATTGAAAATTGTGAAGAGATTTTTGTTATTGAAAGATGACAATAACAAAAGGTAATTGAATTTTCGACACGTGTGGCAAATAAAATTGCAAAAACGCGAGAATCCAATGACATCGCCGTAGTTTAGATAGCATTAAATATCTCGTTTTTCGCCTTTAGCGCTTCGTCGTTAGTTACGAATCACCTTGCGTGCGTAGCTCACATTAAACAATTAACTGTATTAAAGTTGGCCTGGTAATCAATAGAAGTGGCCTAAAAGAATTAATTAAGACTTGTCTCTCTCGGCATTTGATCAGTTAACAATAATGAATAACTGTGAATGCTCTAATGTTAGTTAGTATGTTTGTTAATACATATGATTGCCCATTGCGTGTCTGAGTTTTACTTGATGGGAACTATAACATACTAATCCCGGTGCAGGTGGAACGGAAGGTGGAGCTAAATCCGTCACCACTTCTCTGGTGCACTCCGAATCTCACATTCAAGCTCAAGTCTGCTGTAAGCTTCAGTCACAATAGTACATTTTATGTTACAGCACTCTATTCTGTACTTTCTATGGACCCTTTAGCCATCGAAAACTGAATCTTTCTTTTTCCTCTTTGCTCTTTCCTTCTCTTCCTATCTTTTTGTCTAAAAATGAGAGCGCAGAGTAAGATAAAAAGCTTGATGGCTAAAGGGTTAAAATCTCTTTACATGATAAACATTCAAGCAGTATCAAGCATTCTCTTAACTTTCTTCCGATACTTTAAGCAGCTGTAGTTCCTAATTTTCTTTTATAAGTATGGCATATTGTTGTATTGAGAGAGAAAGAAACCTTGCATGCTTAATTCACGATAACTGATTGATTTAAGAAAATATGAGAACGATCGAAACTACTGTTCAACTGTGCTTGCATTGTCGTCAGGTTCAGCGACAAGTTTAGAAGAATCAAGAGGCTCCACACCATCTGCAAATATTCTGACGAAAAAATACGAGAGCGACATAGAGATACTCAGCAACCCCAGCCAAAGTAGCATCGAGGTTTTAGATGAAACGCTCAAGTTAGTATAACAGTTAATTGTATGATCGTACCATCATATTATTTGTGCTGATTCGTCACGGTATTTATCGATGTAGGACAAATCTTACACCAAGCCGGAAACGTTCAACTGAGGAAAGGCGAGCCGCGATAGCTCCTTCTCTAATAACAATTCCGGATGTAACGCCAGTCATGGCAGGCCTTACGGAGAGTAGTTCTTCCGGTACGTATATTTTAACATCTTCCTGTTACGAATAATGATATATGATTAGTTAATTTGCGCGACTGCTCCATTATGTTTATTAACTGTTACGTATTAATTTAATTTAATTAACTGGCGTTTTATTCATAGGTTCGCTGACCGACAGTATATGTACAGCATACGAAAATAAAATGACTAAATCAACAAACGTTGACGCGAAGTCCCATAGCAGTGACGGCGAAAAGGAAACTGCGTTCACTCCTGTAACAAATCTGACTTCGATGTTAGGAGGTAATACTGTAGAGTTCGTAATCTCATATTGTCATAAAGTATTGTAAGAAGTATCTCGGTTAGAGACCATTGCAATGTTCAACATAATTAACTATGTTTCTGTAATATTTACGTTGTCGTCTGCAGGCTTGCTTCAAAGCATCAAGATCGGCAGCAATAAAATGTTGAAAGGCGAGGAGGCCTCGAGTTTCTTCGGTAGCAGCGTGCAATATTCATACACCGATTTCAGCAGTATAGATCACAGAATCAAATTGCACATCATCCTAAATGTGTTCGAACATGAAAACGAAGAGCTAGTCCTTCTTCTCAGGGTATTGAATCAATATAAATTGATCGAATGGACTTGAATTGAAAGTTCAAAATTAGCATAATCGATTGTAAAATGAAATTTAACAAAATTCAAAAAGAATTTGGAAATATCAAGCTCGTAACAATAGTTAACTTTAGTTAAAGAGATTCTTAAGAAAAATTACAAGTGATATTTCGTCTATATGTTTACTTACTGTAGGCAGACATTTTGATGCATTCTATGCAAGAAACGTTTCCTGGATGCCTAGTGTTATCTACGTCTAAGGTTTACATTCTTAGGATTAATGGACCAGAAGGGTAAGTGTAATTTACTAATAATAAAAGAAAAGAAAATCGAGAAATGATTGAAGATAACTGACATGAAGGACTTATTAAGAAATAATTGAGAATAAAAATCAATTTACGATAGAGAGGACCCACAACGGTGGCTTCACAAAGAGGTCAGCTGGACAATGGATAGACTGAGATCATTTGTACCATTGCCATTCAAACAAGGTGTCCTGATCGAGCTGCAACAACTTGGCAAAACCAATGAAGAACATCTGAGCATCACGTTGCTCTGTATCCTGCAAGATTTCCAAAGAACATCAAACTTTTTATTCTATATCACAGGTAAAATGCATCTTACAACAGTACGAGAGCACGATATTATATATATTTGGGAGATCTTATAATTAGAAATCTTAGATATAAATGACAGTAATATTTGAGCTGTTCTCACATGTTGTGTATCGACAGATTTGCAGTTACCTCCAAGCTGCGAGGTGGAATTCACCGTTCCGGAGCACTGCAGTACTTTGATGCACAGTCTATTGACGAGCACTGCAAATTATCAGGCTGGAGACACTGTACGATTATTGGCAATGTTTTCCTCCGCAGTTTTAAAACAGCACAGCGACATTATCAAGCTGAAGTTGTCTGGATTGATTGTAACAAATTCTGCACTAGTGATACTGGAGGACAACGCACAATGGCTAATGCCAGACAGCGATCGAGTCCCCTTAGTTGCCAGAGAGCAAGCTATGAGCAATTTAATCGCGATAGTTAGTAACTCCATATTATTTCTGTCGCTTGATCAAATTACAATTCGCGACTCGTGACTCTAAACGACTTTGTAAATAAAAGTATATTGTACAAAGATAATTCTTGATCGATACACGAGTCGTTGCTGCTTGTTACAACTGATTTTTTAGTGGCATATTTGTTGACGCGTTAATGATGTATCTGCAGGAACACTATGACTCCTCGTTAACTTTAAACTTCCTGGATGAAGTGGCAGGACTCGAGGAAAATTGGAACTTGGAGTTTGTCTCGTCTGGCGCAGTCGAGGCTGTAATTAGTTCTATACAGCCTCCGTGGGAAGAACTGTTCTCAATACCTTTACAAGTAACTTCACGCACTACACAGGATAACGTGGAAAAAGTTTAAACGGTACGTGAATTAAATCTCTAATGAATTTATCAATACAAGAAACGATATGATCGTTAAACGATTTGACTTCCTTATCAATCTGAAAAAAAATTTTTCGACACGATTTACGTGATTCGAATAGATTTTTTTATCATCTTCGAGTTTATAGATGCGAAAATACTTATAGGACATTATGAGATATAGAGGATAAATTGTTAATTCAGTGATAATTAAGGGGCTGTCGATAGAATATTAATATATCACAAAGTTTCCAGTGGTGCTGTAAAGGCTGGAATGTTGTTATTTACAAGTACATCCAGCTGAATTTTTGCTTCTGTCGCGTGCATAACTTTCTAGCTAAAATTCTTACATGGATATTACATAGATATTTCGTCTATACTCATACAGGTTTTAAAAGTTTCGTAACTGTTCTGTCAGTTTGATATTTTCACTCAATGTTAGTTTTTATCGGGCGCCTCTGACTGTGATATGTATATTTCAAACTTTATATAATATAAATATACGAGACTTCAATATATATATATATATATATTTACTGTAGATATTTGTATCAAAATAATATTGTAATTTATATTTTGTAACAAAGTGTGATAAATATAATTATGACCTTACATAATATACTTCTCAATTCTTATCTTTACTTATCTTTACGCAATATTGCATCTTCTTTCCAAGAGAAAGATCACAATGAAATGTATAGTTTTGTTTTACGTGAATTTTACATGACGAAAGGAGCAATTTGCTCTGCCTTTGTGCAGCAAATCGCGTGTGTAACAGTTAAAAAGCTGTGACATATATAATTTACAATAGTACGCACCGTCGTGAATACTTAATGGTACTCGTCCCCGATACTTTATGCAGTGCTAAACGTTTCAGTCATTCGTAAGAATGTTCCTTCCTTCGTAACAATTTCACTGTCTCGCGAGCACATCTTGACATAGGAGACAATTTAGTGCATGTGGATAAATAATAAATGAAGAGAATTATTTCTGACATAACACTTAAGATTCATGCTGCAAATTTATTACACACACACACATACACATTAACAATAAATTTTTATACAAGAATTAAAAAATGCACAATATCTCACAAGTAACGATGGCATGGATCATTTTCATCATTGTACCAAGTACCAATGGCTTTGGATATAGCAAAAGAGGTATATAGTAGTTCTTTATAATGTTAAATCATTATTAAACTTAACAAAAATGAAAATTTAAGTCAAAGTGCTTTATTTTAGAACAACATTTGTGGCCGAAGACACACAAATTATGCGCGGGTAAGCTACAATCACCGGTATCTATATCCACTTCCAAAGCGATTCCTCTACCGCTTCCAGCGCTCGAAATGATCGGTTACCATGATTTTCTTCCGATGCCGCAAACACTTACAAATGATGGAAGAACTGGTAAGTGTTCTCGACTTACAAAATCTTATGAAAGTCGTCATATTCTCTAAGAGCACTTATTTTCAGTTAAGCTCACGATAAATAAAAATGTAATGTACAAAAAGTTGCCGTACGTATTCGGCGCCACGTTGAAACGAAATCAACAGTATGAAATAGAGCAATTGCACTTCCATTGGGGTGCGAAAAACAGTAGGGGTGCTGAGCATGTGTTAAACGGCGTAAGGTGATGATCATACTTATATTTACAAGAGTTTGTAATGGCGAAATATCACAGAGAATAATTGGTGATATCAAATATCGTAGATATCCAATGGAAATGCATATTGTGCATCGAAGTCTGGCATATGCGAACTTGTCGCATGCACTACAGTATGAAGACGGTGTAGTCGTAGTGGCTACTCTTTTCCAAGTAACTTTTTCGTTTTTTAAAACATACAAGACTTTAATATTTATTGACAACTTGAGTTCTAAGATTTACAGAACTGATAAAATCGGTGAAATCCCGGGGAAAATGATTATATATAATTATACAAAATGATATAAAAAAAATATATAAAAAACTCATGAATTTTGTCTCTAGATAGTCACACATATAATCATATATAATTATATGTCCATACGGAAAAAAATGCCGTTGAATAAAAAAAGAAAGAAATTGTTTTATTCCGTAAACATCGACTTCGCTAGAAACATGAGCATTTGATTTCAATTGTTCTACTTTTTAATTGTTTGACTTCAATTGTTTTACTTTAATTATATTTATACAACAATATTTTTCTCGGTATGGATATATATAATTACATATGATTATATATTGTTACATAGAGATAAAATTCATATATCGTTATTTTTTTCGGGATGACAACCTAAGTGTAACTATATGATTTCAGTTGCGAGACGAGCATAATGAATATTTACGACCTTTCTTGGAACGGCTACCAGACGTAAAATGGGTGCACACAGAATTATCAGTTAATATATCCATAAGTCTAAAATCTTTGATACCATCGAACACCGATATTTTTTACACATACAAAGGATCTCTCACCACTCCGCCTTGTAGCGAAGCAGTCACCTGGATAATCTTCGCGACTCCAGTTTCAATATCTTTTCGTCAAGTATTTTGTACCACAATCTTATTTCATTGTTTCATATTTAATTTCTTATCGAATAACAATGATCACCCTTGTCGCAGATAAATATATTCCGGATACTCTCGAGCGGTAAAAAAACGCTAGAAGACAATTTCAGACACCAACAAGGCATCGGTCTGCGCAAGATATACATCAGGAGAATGCATTCGTGGTTTAAATATAGCGATTCGCAATTGAATTTCGCGAACTTAAGCTGGTTTTGGACTTAGCACGATTATGCAAGGCAGAAAGATAAAAATTATAATCTCTATTTTTATTTCTGTTATATTTATATTAGGTCGACGCAAATGAAATAGCTATTTCGTGTGCAATAATCTGATAATAATAAAAGAAAACTATAAAATATTTGTAAGATTATAACTGCCAAGTTGACTATAACAAAAAATTTTTGTAGCAAAAGTTCTTTCTTTCATTTAATTTTTCTATAAATTATCCAATAAATAATAGTTTAATTAAATTATAAGATAGATTTTTACTAAATTACAAAAATGTTTAACACACATTATGTTACTTCCTATTAATATTACAGGACTTATAATAAATTATAGACAATTCTATTATTTATATAAGACAGTCTTCAGATTACTTGTACAGATTTCTGCACGAGGATATTCCTGATTTGGTGATTATGGCCCAATTCATTAGAGAAATACCATTGCCATGCTGAGCTGGCCAACTCAAGACATCTTGGATTGGCCATAGCGTATCCTTTGGCAAATCAATTACTAGTACATTGTTATATCTGTACATCAAATATATTGCTAATATCCCCTGAAAGTATCATATATTTTGATTAAGATTATTAAAAGATAAATAACTAAATATATATATGAATATTAATATATCAAGTGCTACTGTAATTCATAAACAGGTTATAAAATTAAAAAATTGCCATTTAAATATGGATAAAGTGGCACTCAACATATTAAATGAGAAATCTACATACATTTATTACATAAAAGGCATAAGTTAAGGACAGTTGTAGTGTTAGTCTCCGATTTTGCCGCTGTTTTACTGTGAAAGAAAACCTAAATATAAATATATACAAACATATGAAGTTGGTATTATTGTAATATATTCAAATCGATACATTAAGGATGAAATACAAAAACTTACTGTTGTTTTTCAAGATGCTTTCCAAATTATTGTATTTGCGTTGGAGCCTAGCATATTTAGCAAATTCATTTACCATGGAAATTCCTGCCATTTCCCGTTTCAAGTTACTTATCTCGTCCCATAACTCATGATCACACTTCTTATGCGCGTATTGTCGCGATAATATCTGTATTTTATTAGATAAAACTTTGATTCAGGGCACAAATTGACAACTTAGATATTTTTGTTAGGTTAGGTTAATGTTTAGGATAAATTCGTGAAATTTAAGTTTTTGAAAAAATATATGCATAATTTAAAAATATTTAAAAATACTTACAAATTTAATCAGGAACGGTACAACGTCATTCAAAATGCAGATCACGGTGGATATTATCAGTAAAATCATATCGCACACACACACAATGTGACATAACCTATAAATCACGTAGCGATAAGCAGACACAAGTCTTGTTAAAATCGTAGTACGTACACTAAAATGATTCGATTCAATTCGAATATTCTTTAATATTGACGCTTTTTAATGATAATACTAGATAGTACATCTAGATTCTATATCTAGGTACTTCAAGCATCACACCGCACATTATGGTGTTTTGATGACGTCGTGTGATGACATTCACTTTTCAACGCTGTCGATAAGTCACTTCATGCGTGTGTAGGTAAGATCAATTTAGCGTCGCAAGTGCTTCAGAGCGACGGATAAATCAATCTACTGGCTTATATATATCAAAGTAATTGCAGTCTTAAACAAACTCTGCCATCATGCTATATCATCGACTAAATTAAAATAAAGATTACCAACTCTCTCTAAGTAAAAAAAAAAAATTTCATTATATATATATATATTTTTTTTCTTTTATAATGCATGAACATAAAGTATTCATCGATCTCACTGTAGTATATAATTATATTCAGTAGAATATTAAAATTAAGTTCTTCAAGGCGTCAGGCGCTTAGGATCACGCGGGAACATGGACACCTTACGAATATTATCTAGTCCGAGATACAACATCACCACACGTTCTAAACCTATTCCGCCACCGGCATGCGGTGGACAGCCATATCGGAAAGCGTCGATATAAGACTTGATCTTCTCAATATCTGAAACAAGAAAGATTCAGTTAATAAACAACCAATTTTCTATATTCTTACAATTTTTATATGTAACAAAAATTTATTCACCGATTTCATGATGTTTGGCACGTTCAGTGAGAAATTCTGGGTCATGAATACGCTGCGCGCCAGATATGATTTCCTCGCCTCGCATAAACATATCGTACGAATTGGAAACTTTCTGTAATTAAAGATTGACAGTATTAGTAATATTTTATAAGGAAACTAAGTATATTAGAATAATTGTTAGAACAATTGGACACTTACAGGATTGTTGGGATCTGGCATAGTATAAAAAGGCCTTACAGCAAGTGGATACTTATCCAAGATATAAAAGTCTGTATCATACTGAAAATAATATAATAATAATAATAATAACAGTAAAATAATTACGTAAATGTACTGGAAATAATCGTGAAAACGTTCCATTGTACATCTTTAAGTTTCGTTATAATTCTAATTCTATCTTTCTGATAATCTATTTTATCTATTAGTCAAGAAATTTCTCAGTATCTTACTTTGGCCTTGACAAGCTTCCCCAAAAGCTTTTCATCGGGTGTTGACAAATCGTCTTCTTCACCCAGAGTTACACCCGCTTCGGCCAACAATTCAATCGCTTGCGGAAATTCCAATCTTAAGGCTGGTTCCAAAAACTTGAAGGGTTCTACTGCGTATTGTTGATTGACCGCTGCTATATCGTCCGCGTATCTATTAAATCCCCATGAAACTAATTACAACTGTGTAAATAAAAAGATTAGTACATCAAGAATAAAAACTAATGGAAATATTTTACTAGTTAATTTCGACATGTATTTGTATCTATCAAAAAAATAAATGTTTGCATATATCACTAACTTGTCACGTAAGCCTTTGAACAGCTCGGTGAACATTTGCCCAATAGTATCTATCACCTCATGATAATGATACTTAAAAGCCATCTCCAGATCAAGGCCCACGAATTCAGTCAAATGTCTATGCGTATTAGAATCTTCCGCTCTAAAAACTAATTACAACATACAAAAATTGTTGAAAAATAATATATTAAGATGAAATGTTAGAGAAGTAATAACACTTATTTACAGAAAGATCTTTAAACTTGTTTAATGAATAGGATATACCTGCTCCAACGGTGAACACCTTATCGAAGTCGGCGGCGATCGCCATCTGCTTGTACAATTGTGGTGATTGCGCCAGATAAGCATTGCCTTTAAAATAGGACACTGTAAATACGTTGGCTCCACCCTCACTAGCCGCTGAGATGATTTTGGGAGTATGGATTTCTACAAATCCCTGTAAATATCAAATAAAAAGAGACTTTCTCAGAAAGGAGAATATCATTAGACTCACTTTCTTTGTTAAGATGTCTCTGAAGAGCTTGCAAACACCAGCTTCCACCCGGAAGATTGCCTGATTAGCTGGAGTACGTAAATCTAACACTCTATTGTCCAGTCTAGTATCCTGATTTACTCGAATATTTAATGTCGTCTCATCCATTTCGTTAACAGACCTCGCAGCGTCTTCTATCTGCAAGGGAAGTTGCGGTTTCGCTGCGCTTATCACAAAGACGCATTTCAGTTCAATTTCCACGTCCTTTTGCGAACACGACTCGATCTTCGATGGCGCAGATCTCACTATGCCCTCAACGTCGATTATGGATTCCTTCGTAATGCTGAACAAAACAGGATACTATATTAGTTCCAAAAAATATACGACACATTAATTCTAATTGAGTTTGTGAATAAAGATATAATATTCAATATAAATACTCGTGTTATAAGCTGGAGAAATATTAAGAAATTAGCTTTTATATGAAACTTACTTGGATATAAATTTAATCATTTGTTTGCTTATGGTTGGTCCTTCATTAGCTAATCCCTGCACTGTATATGATTGTTGTCTCAACACAATAAAGCACCGTTTGCCTGAGAAGGAAACCGTTAAATTGTAATTTTGAATTGTAATTGTTATTTTGACATAAAATAAGTGAAATAATATTATTTACCTTTTGCACGACTAATGTGTAAGCGACCTCTTAACCAAACCGCCTGATCTTCCAGTTCTTTATTTAAATCCTTAATTACTTTAAATTTTCTGTCCTCCAACTTCTCTGTACTTTGAATCATGTTCATCAATCCGTAACATCCTACAGACACATCCATGGCTTCTTCTGTAGATTCCTGCTGCTGTTGCTATACATAGAAGATATATTTATTTACCAAGATTTATTTACCACATCAATATAATTCGGATAAAAATCAAAAGTTTATTAGGACCTTACCCACTATTATACACCATTGTTTATATTATGGTGGAAATATACAAGGTGTAGTGTTCCACTAGATGCGCAGTAGCTACCAATCAAAAAATTGCCTAAAATTGGAAAAACCAATGGCTGTCCTCAATATTTTTGGGCAACTTTCTGATTAGTTCTACTCTTACCTGCATGATGCGCAATGCTACACCTTGTATATTTCCACCATGGTTTATATTGTAATATATTTTAGAAACTAAGCATATTATTTACTTAAAAATATCATATTTTTTAATATTATAAATAGTAATTTATATTATAATTTACATTGTAAATAATGAAATACAATCAAGGATAAGTTCTATTTACTTTCCTCAATAACTTACATTCTGAGCTTTTCTTTCTGCTTTTTTTGCTGCTTTCTCTGCTTCTTTCTGCTGTTTCTTGAGTGCTTTTTTTGATATTTCATCTCTTTATAAAAGAACATAAATTCTCATGTATATTATTTAAAATATGAAAAAGATGTTGCAAGAAAATTAACTATTTTTTCTGAGAACAATCATGGCATAAAACAATCACTTGTTATATCATTTTTTGTTTGAATATTAATTTACATATATGAAACACAAAAATATTTTAATATGATTTTATAAGAAATTAAACTGACTAGTATAATACAATTCCTATTTTACAAGAAATAAGACAAAATTCCTATTTCTTATTTACTTATATCTATAAGTTTATAAACAAAACAAGTATTGGGCAATAATTATAAGATTTAAATGTTACCCAGATATAGGAGAATCTGTAGGTTTATCTTCACCCATCTGCAAAAGATGATGTAATATATCATTAGCAATAAATGAGTATATTACATCACTTACATATACAATTAGATATTTAAAATATTTTATTGATATCAAGTCTTACTGTAAAATAAAGTATTGTATTTATAATAACAAAATATATGTATAGGTGCGATACCTGTTCTGATTTTTAACCTTCAAATTGTAACACATATGTTGTTATAGAGAGTAAAGTAAAAATAAAGTTTATGTAATCCAAACATAAAAAGATGTCAAGATAATTGATGCAAACCGATATAAATAGATATACATATTTCTTTTTTATAGTTACATATGTAGCTACATATGTGATACTATGTAGAGGTTAGAATATAGTGTCACAAACATTATTGAACAAAATAAATAGTAAAAACAAATTAAATGTGCAGTATACTTACTTTATTGTTACTTTAAATTAATTAGTTGCAACAATAAAAAGTAACAAATTACAGATCTCGTGTGCGTAGCCGGATGATTTTTGCGAATTGCAGGTGCAATTATATCGATATTAATCGATAATAGAATGTTCAGTTTTGAAAGCGATATATATCGATATCATCGATTTTATCGATATTAATAGTATCGATAAAATTGGTGCAACATCGAGTCAATGTAAACTGAATAAAATTTACAGGAATATCAAGCAATTTTAATAATTTACATCCATTAACCAGTCTAATTATTTTTATTATCGCCATTATTATCTCTTTGTGTGCTGAATATTTTCATTATTTTCAATATTATTTTTTAATAAACAGAATAAACAATATATATACAATTGCGGTCACAACAGCATACAGTATTAGACTTTTAAAAAGACACTTGAATTTAAGCTCAATTATGGCATTATAAACAAACTTACAATATCATAAAAAGAATCATAATAACATAGGAGAAATATGAGCATTATAATTTGATTAATTGTGCTTTCAGAACAATTTATCTGTATCATTTGCAACTTCAATATGTTACTCTCTCTGTCCTTTTCTACTTCTCTAAAAGTATATAGCTATTATATTTAAAATATAATATCTGTAAGATTTAGCGCAATTGAAATACGAAGAGTACCAATATCACGATTCGTTATACTACAAATTTATTCTATGTCGATCATAGAGAGATAAAAAAATAGAATAATGTTCATCGAGAGGATCATGGTCGATTAAGGTGTGAAATTCGTGTAGGGTAAAGGATATGTTCGCGTCACAAGATCTCTCTTATTGTCACAGTACTATCCGCTTTGCACTGTTGTCGGCCGACTCCAGTAAGAAGGGGGTGATGGAGGTCTGTGGCATACGTGGTCGAGCTTCGAAATCGTCAAACCACTTGGCATTACTACTCAACGGCAGTGCTCGTTGAGAACTGGTATTTAGGCTCCGCATGGCATGCTCAGTCGCCTCATCCCAACTCTTCCAGTTCACACCTTCGTGACCTAAAAAAGCCAGCGTTGGGCGTCTACGCATAAGCAATCACAAATGTCTATATGTAGCGTACTGCGACAAGCTCAAAATACCCATTATAGGAAATTCTTATCGGCATTATCATAGATGCTATCGTGATATGCAATCTATTAATCGTAATATAAACGAGAAGACATCTCCTTATAAAAAAGAAAAATCAGGAATGTAAAAATATCATTAATTCTTGCATGAGATTCTATTCAGCAAAATCTACTTGCATGAGAATCAATATGAATGGGAAACTATTCATCTTTTTTCTTTGGTTTTAACTGAAATGAAATGATGTAATCTAGGCCTTTGAGAATTCAATACAATAACGTATTAAATAAAAGAAACGTGCAAAAATATGATTCCTTGATATTTTGTCCCGAGCGAATAATGATAACAAAGTGAGCGGACATTTGCGAGCGAACATGATTGTGAGGGCAGCGAGGAGAGCACGGTGTAATAGGAACACACACACACACACATATACGTACATATGCATGTATGTATGTATATTTACATATAATCCATGGGTTCGAAAAAACACCTAAAGAATCTTATTCACATTGTTTCGACATAATTGTACATAGTAATATGTCATTCTTAAAGTTTAACATAAAAAAAGTAATGAAAGAAAAAAGAAGAATGCAGCCTTCCACAATTTTTACTTCTTACTTTTCAGTTTATCCGAACTCTCATCAAAGGTGGGATCTTGTATATTCAGCATTAGACTGTTGCCGTTAAGATATACTCTATTCTGGGAACTGGCAATCTAAAACAGAATAATCGTTTCCTATTAGAAATGCAAAATTTATTTAAAGTTTCGTTATAAAATATCGATCTTATGTAGTAAAATGCCATATAGTCTTCATCGTTCTTCTAGATTTAGACGATGATTAACGACAAACTCGCGATGACGTTTCACTAGAATACTTACCGTCCGAGAAATATTTTGCGCAGCTCGAATTTTACGCAGCTTCAGATATCCAGGATTATGCCCGACAGCTATACCAAGGTACACTGTAGTTAAGGTAATTAAAGTTTGACAGGAAACTCTGAGAAAACATCATTGTTATACATTTATCTATGAGTTATTAGTTTAAACCATTATCCACTCGTCCACTCGAAAATAATTCAACTGTAAATTTTAACTGTGCATACCGCGACAATCAGATGTTAATAATTTTAATCGCAATTATATTTTTTAGCTTATACCGTCAGTAAAATTTCAATTAATAAACTGCAAACAATTCGCAAATAGATGAGAATAATTTGATTTTAACAAAGGATATCATTTTGGCCGCTTCTGCTTCTCCTTCTGCCTGTACAATCTTTTGCTGTCGCTCCTGTTTGGCTCTTTCCACTACAAAAGCCGCTCGTTGGGCCTCTTGCTGAGCCACTTGCTTAGCTTCGACTGCAGCGGTGTACTCTTTGCCAAAACTAAGTTCCGTTATCGAGACATCATCGAGAATAATATTGAAATCTCGGGCACGCTCGGTCAACTCTTTGCGTACCATAATGGACACTTGCTGTCTTTGAGTGATCAACTGCGAAGCGTTGAACTTTGCAACAACAGATTTCAGAACTTCGTTGCAAATACTAGGCAATACCTGAAGCAAATCAATCTTCCTTTATTATTCTGTTTAACTTCAAATTCGTAATTTTATATAAATTTTATTAGATAGAGATCAGTTCTTAACATTAATTTTAAATATTTGGAAATGTAATTCAACTTTGTATTTGTAAATCAAAATATTTTTGTATAAAATCACTATTATATAAATATACAATAAAAAAAACAACATTAAAGTCTTAACATATTTAGCTCATTTGTGCAATTTCAAGAAAGTCATTTTTGAATATTATTGATCTGGTAACCTTTTCATCATAGTCAAGACCAAGTTGCCGGTACATGACTGGCAACATGGATGCTTCAGGACGTGAGAGTACACGAAGTGAAATGTTGACCATTTGCAAATCCTTGGATCCTGTCGGCGAGGAGATCTTCCTAGGTCTACTTCTAATATCATAAATTATTGGATAGTGGAACCATGGAATACGAAAATGCAAGCCCTCAGTCATAATATCCTTCTGAATACCTCCCAATCTGGAGAATATGATTGCTCTGTGTCCAGCCTCCACTGAAATTTGAATAATACAAATTTAAATATCTTGTAGTTTTAAGAATTAAAAGCTCTGTTTAGCATTTATATATTCTTTTATATTCTTGAGCAATAATAAGATTCTTCATTTAAAAATCTACTAAAAGAAATGGACAATATTTAAAATTCAATTAAAGTCAATTTTCTGCTAGACTGATTAGCAAGGAGTAACCAATATCAAAATTAACTAATATACTAATGAACTAATTAACTAATAAGCTAATATAAACATAAGAAATCTACGTAATTAATTACATCGATTACACCATGAATTACATAACCAAAAATACATGTGATAAGAATGGAAGAAGTATTAAAGGAAAGAGGGTGACAAGGACATTATCGATATTTTAAAGTATTGACATTTGTGTAATTTAATTCAACTGACAATTAAGGTTTACAGTTATTCTAGATAATAATATTTGAAAAATATCATATAAATATCTTAATATTCGGAGGAAACGTGGAGCAAATTGCAATTAACCTGTATACATCGACTTGGAAGCGCCGTAGGCCGCTACGCCAGCAGCAGCAAGGAACTTCACGCTCAGAGGCACGCCGTTCGTGCCTTTGCCAAAACGTGACGCCAAATCGCTGAATTTATTTTGCGCCATTTCAAAAAATTAAACTGCGTAATCGTTTAACAGAAATACCGGCGAAAATATCGTGACGAGTTGATACTGGAGCAAACCAAAATGGCGAGCATACATCAGGCATCGATATCAGAATATGTAGAGTTTCGACCTGTGTTGTCTCTCATCGGGCGGTTTTCAGCAAGGAAATTGTTTATATTACAACTTTAAAATTGCCATTGGCTACTTATCATCTTCAGATGAAACGACCTGGGGCCGATTCTCTAACTAGTTGCGTATACGTAATTTTCATTGCGTAGCTATTTTATGATTAAACCTGCGCAGTAAAACTTATGTATACGCAATTATTTCAAGAATAAGGGCCCTGTGGTCTGTTTTTTTCAGCTGCACTGCTGAACTAGTGCAATAAGTTAGAGTGAGAAAAGATATACTTATTCACTTTAACTTATTGCACCAGTTCAACAGTGCAGCTGAAAAGAACAGACCACTGTTGTTCATTGCTGAAGCAAGATCCATTTGATGCTGCAAACGCTTCAAAGTGTCGAATAAACCAATCGTAATTTTCTTTTACGAGCTCCAAAGCGTTTGTAACTTCAAACGGATCCTATCTTTGAAAATACACATTGTTTTTTGCGTTGCAGTCCATAAAACTTATATAAAGTCATATATTTGTTCAAATTTTTTTATCATCGATTAAAATTAAGATAAAGATGGTGAAATCTTGCGTCTTGAAAAATTGTAAAAAAGATTGGAAACCATTTTCGGAAGTTGGATACCACAGGTAAGATAATTAGATATAAAGCAACTTAACCTCTACGGTATCCCATATAAAACAGTTTCTTTCACTTAGTTTTCCAATTGCGAATAAAAAACTTTTCGCAAAGTGGACTGACAATATCCCCAAAGATTTATTGCCGAATTGGATGAAAAATGCCTACATTTGTAGTAAACATTTTGAAAAGAGTTGTTTTGAAATTGGTGTTGTTCGCAAAATATTAAAAAAAGATGCCGTCCCTACTATTTTTAAAAATTTTAAAAATTCCGATAAACACGAAGATGATACTAATACTTCTGTAAGTTGCAAAAAATATATCTTTAGCACTTCTTGTGTTCTTAATGTTTTATATAAATATATAAACATATATAACTTTAATGCATGTTTCTGTTTCATAGATAAATAAGACAAATTTAAACAGTGAGTCATCATCACAGCAACCTGTCAAACAACCCATCATAGATTCTACAGATAATGCTATTTGTGTTAATTCTTATAAAAATATTCCAGATTTAAGAACGGTACTTATTCATAATTTCTTACATATAAATAAAGATTTTTCATCTATAACTTACAAATTAAAGTATTACAATAAATAATATTTAATTGAGAAAGGAATGAGAAAGGCCCTAATGAATTAAAATCAATATAAAAATGAATCTTTAAGAGAGAATCCATGTACAGATGTAAACAATTATATTTATCTATATTTATATAAATCAATATCAAGTATTTTATATATCAGTATTACATCAGCCTGGAATTTTTACAATAAGTCTCATAAGATATTAACATATGTTATATTAACATATAAAATTTGATATTGATTTATAAAAATATAGATAAATACAAATGTTTATAATATTTAAATAGTTGTTTCTATTGCAGGTACGCAAAATCGATGCTGTGGTACAAGTAGAAAGTCGTTACTTACCTGTGTCCCCTGTAAAAGCAAAACTTAAAAAAGATATAAGAGCTTTACAACAACGATTAAGACGAAGAGACGAAGCTCTCACAGCCTTGAAATTATTGTTGGTCCAGCTTAAAATGTACAAAGGCATTAAGTGAAGTCTTAGTGAATAATTTCTCAGCGATACATATATTGTCCAGAAAACACAAAATAAAACTACCATATCATAAATGTTAAAGAAATTTAGAATGCAATAAGCTTGTTATATTATTATGTACAGCAATATGTAAGCAATATTTTAAATTATTAATAAATATTAGATAAGCTAGTAATAAGGTAGTATTAGATAATAATGTAACTTAAATGCAACATGATATTCAAAAAAATGTGTCAATATTGTTTTATGTATAATTTTTCACATGCAGATTGGTGAGATCTTTCAAACATTGAATAATTAACGGTTATGACACGCAAGTAGATAATGCGTATATTCGAAGAAAATTAAAAGGCAGGAGTTTCGCGTCTTCATCGTATGAGGTCTCCAAAGTCGATTCGAAGACAGCGCGTTTTATCAGTCTGTGAATTACTGTTTTGCAGTGAATATTTACAGTGATATTAGATACAAAAATTAGAAGTATGGCCGGTTTGAGCTTAATAAAAATGTATTCTTCCGATACGGATGAAGATGAGCAAGACGAAGGGAAGAAGGAGGATACCGCAAAAATTATTAACAAGTAGATAGGTTATGTTAAAAGTCACCTACAATACGGTTGTTGTTACGTTTTAAAATCGTAGTATTAATCTGTGAATTTATGAAACGAAAAGTTTTGTTAATTTTGTCAATGAAACTTCAATTTTCTACAAATTTATGCAGAGGGAATAGATAGATGATCGATTCACAGACTAGGAAATATTTTAAAATGTAATTGCGACTCCATTGTAAACGATACTTTACTCATGCAATTACATACATATAACATCGAATACATTTAATTTCTTGGTAAATAATTATATATTTTTATTAAACATTATACAGGCTGGCTTTACCTGAAAGCATTTTATCGTGGAAAGGAGTTGCGCATCATGAAGAAGTAATCGACGATCCGTTGGATCATGACGGACGAATCCGAAGTTTCAAACACGAGCGCGGTAACTGGGCCACACTGGTTTATATAAACTGTAAGTGTCTAATTCCAGGCTTAGATTTGAAATTGGTAATGAGATACGAGTAATATTTGTTGAAGCATCCTGAATTTGTTCAAAGTTCTTATGACAGTTAGTATAATTGGTTGAATCATTCGTAGTAATATATAAGAATATAAATTAATTTCAGATGCAGCCAGCGATGGTCTTCTTGCTTGGATGAATTCGGTATTGAAAGAACTGCCGGTCAAAGGCGATGTTATTTCTGAACTTCATATTAGTCTTAGTCGTACTTTGATTCTAAAGTTCCATTGGATTGAATCATTTGCAGAGAACCTGAAGCTATTGTGTTGTAGATTCAATCGATTTGTTTTACAACTTACCGATGTGAGAGTATATTGCAATGAAGAAAAAACTCGCACATTCCTTGGAATTTATTGCCAGAATGATGATGGAATTTTGAAGTGTTTGATAAAGGCTCTTGATGATTTGTTAGCTGAGTATCAGTTACCATTGTATTATGAGGTATATCAAATTCAATTTGTTTTAATACTGTCAGTATAAGCTAGATATTTTTACATCTAGTTATCAGAGAATTCATGCTGTTCCTTTTACTCAAGTTCTTTAAATTCATACTTAAATCATAATTTTCATATATTTTTTATATGTACAGGATACTTCATACCATATTAGTTTCTTCTGGTGCCTTGGAGATCAACAAACACGCCTAAGGAAAATTCTGCCATCTCTTACTAGTAGTTTAAATGAATTTCTGGCAGAAAATATAGAGGACAATTACAGAAAAGTTAATGAAATACAATGCAAAATTGGTAATAAATGTTATGCTTTTGAACTAAGATAAATTTCCGTAAGTTTTATTTAGTTATGTCTAATATATTTTAATTTTATTAAATAAAATTTGTCTTAGAAAGTCATAAACTATCTATTACGACAATAATTTAATCATTCGTCTTGATGTATTAATCTAAACCTGAAAAACAATGTGCAAAAAAATGCATTATATAGTGATAATATATCGCTTCATATGTAAATTTTATGTAACATAAAATGTGAATTCTGTTTTAAAAATTAATTTATGACAGATATCTTGTAATGTGAAATTTATTTTTTGCACTTGAGGGGGATAGTACAAATTATATATATTATTTATATGATTCAAAATATTTTCTGTGTATCAAAAGTAAGTTAAACTTTGAGAATTTTTTACAAGTTTTTAAGAAAGTCATACTGGTTTGAAAATCGTTAAGTTATGAGGTAGTCTTGTTACAATACCTGTGCCACGCCACAGTTTAATCCAAGAATCACACAAGTTGGGTTCTACACTAGCAAGTAATGTACAAATTTCAGGATTTTCTATAACTAATCCTACCTCTGGACTACTTACAATACTGTTACAACCACTAACGTCGATGTAAGTTAATGTGGGAATACGACTCAATAACATATTTACAGATGACACAGTTATGTTTTTGTTCCCGCTTAATACCAGTTTCAACAATCTAGGTAGCCGTGCTAAAATATTCTTTATATCGGTGTCTGTTATGTCACAGAATGAAAGTTCCAGTGACTCTAAACTCGGCGACAGAACAGTGTTCAATGTGTCTAGACTAGAAGTAAATCGGCTAGAAGAAGACAAAGTATTAGATAAGTTCAACTCAAACAGTTGTTTGCTCAGGAAAGAAGTCACCGAATCGCGACTCAATTTATTCCAGGAAATATCGCAACTCGTCAGATTAGGATTGTCAAGCGGAAGACAAAACTCCTCCAGTTCGCAGTAGCGTAAATTGAGAGTTTGCAAGTACCTGAGAGGTGAAATCAGTTTTTGCAGCGTTTCACAACTCCCCGCGCTCAGCGGATTGTAACTCAAGTCCAAGACCCGTAATTGAGACGGCAACGTGATTATCTCGCGCAAACAAGCAAAATCGATGTTACAGCCACTTAAGTAGAGTTCCTGCAAAGAAGAGAGATTCGCGAGACACTGTCGCAGATGTATTCCCGCTGTCGACAGAACAATGCCCGACAACTGCAACAATTTAATGTTCTTTTGGTATTCCAAAGTTTTCAACAATGGCGCGAGCAATAGCTCCTCATCCATATCGTCAGGTTTCACACGAAACAAAGATGTATTTTCGCAGGATCTCAAACACTTCAGCATAATCTCGCGGGGAGTCACATTGTGAGTGCAACATATAGTCTTGTATCGCTCGACGATGGGTGGAACCTGCAACTCGACTACCTCACACTCCAACCTGTTAGCCGCATCGTTCTTCCTCGCGACGTTCAAGATACTCTCCTTCGTCGCGACGCTGCCATTTAACGGCTGCAACATCAACTTCGCCGTGCAGCCGGTCTCGGTGAAGAACACACGCTCGATCGCGTTCACGATGCATATCAAGAAATCGCCCTCGTTTTCGCAAACATCTACCTTTAGATCGAACATCTTGTCTCTCACAAGCACACACAGATTTATTTGTTCTTTGCTGTACCGTCTCGAACTCATTGAAGTGTGCAAGGGCGATTGCAAGTCGTGTATCGGGGACGGTGAGCGAGATACGGTGAAGCCGTTCGACAACAAGGACACCTGTCGTTTTCTCTCAGCCCTTTTGGGTTCCTCGAGCACTTTGATTACTTCAGCGACGGTGCTGTCGCTACTGTCCTCGCTCATATCGCCGAGATCCTCCTCGCTCTCGACGATGCTGTTCAATCTTTTCCGTCTTTTCGAAGTACCTTCTATATTATCATTAGAGAATTTTCTCTTGCTTGTAGCGACGTGCCTGCTCGAAGTAGATCTTCTCCTCGCTATGCTCTCGACTGTTATATCGTCCTCGAGCCAATCGTCGACGAGAACCTGTTCTTCGTTGACAAGAGGTGTGCTGACCACATCGTCGCTGCTTTTACCGGACACGTTGACCTTGTTGGTCTTGTTGAAAGTCCTCAGACTGGCTATCGTTCTTTTGTAATCCTCACCAGCGGATATTTTCTGGACCTCGGGCTTCGTGGACTGCCGGTCCAATGTCTGGACATTCTCAGGTTTCCTTTTCTTCCTTTTAGAGTTGGTGATCACAGCAGAGAGCTTGTTGCGCATTGTCTCATACTCAACCAGGTCCTCGGGACTCAGATAAGTCACGCGACTCCTCCAGTCCCCCAAGCAGTCCAACACGGTGTCGCCGTCGTGGGTCTTGAGCGTGAGGTTCGCGCCGTGCTGCATCAACAACTGCATGACGGAGAAGTGTCCGCAGGACGCGGCGTCGTGAAGCGGCGTGATACCTTTGCAGGACGCGCCGCCCGGGTCGTCGACGTTGGCGCCGTGTTTCAGCAGCGCTTCCGCGACCTCCACGTGACCGTGATTCGCAGCTTCGTGAAGTGGCGACCAGCCGCAGTGGTCTCTAACATTCGCGGGGTGACCGGACGACAAAAGTCTCTCGACGGCACCAATGTCGCCGTCGATGCACGCCACATGTAGCTGCGTCTCGCCCTTCTCGTTCCTCTTGATCGCGGGCGCTCTCTTTTCCCTCTTTCTCTGGCGAATTGCGTTCGTTGTAACGTTCTCCTCAGCCTCCAAGTCGGACAGGTCTTCCAGACAGATGTCCGCACCGATTTGATCGCTCTCCTCGTTGCCTTCGCTCTCTGCATCACTCGACGCTTCCGACGTCGCCAGTTCCATTGCCCGTAGCGTGTCCTCCGCCTCGTCGAGCCGGCCTACGCTCTCCAGGTAAGCGACAAACTCCTTGGCGGTAGATCGACGCAGCTTCGCGTCCTCGCTCTCGTTCGCCGAGCGCAACGCCGCGGTATAATGTTCCCGGATCTCCGTGTCGGTGGCGTTGGTTGTCGTCAGTAAGTCCGCCAAGAAAAGTGCCGACTGACATCTCTCTCGCGGGTTGTTGGCGTAAAGTTCGAGCTCCCGTCGCGCGAGAGGCACCGCCTCCTCGCATCGGCCGGCGTCCTTGAGAGTTTGCGCCAGACTCGTCAGAGCGACGGTCACCTGTTCGCCCGTCTCCTCCGCGCAGGTCAGCATGTGCCGGTAATACTCTACGCCTTTGTCGAAGCATTGCGCGGCCACCGCTGCGTCGCCCATCGTCTCGTACAGCTTCTGCTTGGCTCGCGCGTCATTCTCGACGAGAAGGCTATTCTCGGCTCGGCACAGGGTCACGATGATCCTCAAGTACTTCTCCACCTGACAATTGATATCCTTCGGCAGTCCACTGCTCGTATACAAGGCAATTAGTACTTTGCGCGTTTTGATCCACTGACCGGACTGCATGAATAACTCGGCTTTGGATAGCTTTGCCTTGGCCTTCAGGCACGTGTCGTTTACCATAGTTGCGGTCTCGATGTAGTTCAACGCCAGTTCGAAGTCGCCTTGCCGCTCGTATATGGCTGCCAGGGAGATGCATGTTCGATGCAGGTCTTCTTGGAAATTGTTGGACACGCACAGCGCAGTGGCCTGCTCGATCAAATCGATCGCCTGTTGCGTCTCCCTCTGTGCTTCTAATGTTAGTCCTAAGTTTAGTAGCAACCTCGCCCTCATCAGTGTTCTCTCTTCTAATTTAATGTCTGTGCTCGTTAACTGATCGCACAACTCCATGCTTTTTACATAAGCAGTCTTTGCGTTCCCCAGAGCCTCGTCTCGTCTCTGTGATTGATTTAGTAGGCTTTCAGCCAAGCAGAAATAAGTTCTTCCCAAGGTAGCATGTGCACGTTGCTCCTCTATTAGATTCTTCATGTCTCTGGCACCTTCCAGATGCAAATTCTGATGTACCAGAGCTTGCTCATAGTCTCCTAGACTCACGTGAACCTCCCCTATCATTCTGTTTGCTACTGCACAGCTTAACTTGTCCCCAAGATCTTTACAGATACCTAATTGCTCTGTATATTCTTGTAGGGCCTTCTTCGGCTGTTCGTTCTCAAAATAAATGTCCCCAAGAGTTTTCGTGATTTCAGCCAACTGTCGAAGATTGTTATCCCGTTTAGCATGTTGTTTCCTCTTGATGAGTTTGTCGATGCTCATATTGACAATGTTTGATGTATTCACAGGATGACATATATTTATCAATTATTCTCATCACCTGCAAAATGACAATAATGTCGGTACATTCATAAGAATAATAACTTCATAAAATATTGCTCCTACGCTAATGTTGTTTATAAGTTTTTCAATGAAACGCTCATTATATAATATTTATTCGTTGTAAAACTAGGTTAGATTAGAGTTGGATACATTTGTAAAAAGTTTGACGCTATTTGAGTAAAAACAACAAGCGTGTGGAATTAAACGTACCTTTTCCCGCACAATTTGCCTTCTCTCACGTGCTATTATCCATCGTTAAATTGCACAATTCAAAACATTTAAGGATAAAGATTTTCCACTTTCCCGCCTCTTACGCTATCTTAAAATAAAAAAGTCAATTGATATGTCTTTGACAAACGCTGTCTAAACGTAAAACGTCAACGGGTCTTCTGATCGTTGTTAAGTTGTACTAGTTGAAAATAAAAGATTTTTCAACTTGCTACTAAGTATTTTTCTCGATAATAAAGAGCATAAAAAGTGATAAAAAGCAAGTGTCGAATGATGTGCTACTAAATCATAGTACTTAAAAACATAAGCCTCGTTTGACTTGTTGTTGATTTGTATCACATCTGCGATTCTTCATCAAAGATCATCGTAAGCCAATAAACTTCTAGCTTTTGTGGCAAAACGGCATGTTGATTGGTTAATGCAGGATTCACACCGGGTGCTTTCCAATTGCTTACATACTTGACACATATGTACACAGAAATGCACAAAGTGTAACGTTGTGCACGATTCAATTGGAACAAAATATGTATTGATGTGTACGTATGTCGGGTAGATTAGGATTATTTTTCAACTGTGCTTATATTATGGTATTTTTTAATAATAATAAAATCTAAATAAAAAAGATATCTACTTCACGTCGCAAATGCCAGTCTCTTTTCAAGCCGCTACGCTTATTAACTTTAATTGTCACTAGAAAACATTAGTTTACACAGCCGACTAGTAGCCCTCGAGCTGAGTACTGATGTGGTTAGGCAACAGTTTTCCGAAAAATGGAGGAGATAATGTTGGTACCAAGGAAAATCTCTACACGATATAAATTAAAGGTCTGTTCTTTGTAACTGTACACTGCTGAACTAATGCAAAAGGTTAGAGTGAGAAAACGTATACTTATCTCACTTCAATTTATTGCACCCAGTTCAGCAGTGCAGTTACAAAGAACAAATCTTTAAATTATATCGTGTAGAGATTTTACTTGATACCAACATTATCCCCTCCACTTTTCGGGAAACTGTCGCCTAACCCAAAGTCAGTCGAACACGCTATTGGCTTGGTTTACATCGTGTACTTGATACGCGTACTAAATAGTAACTTTCTATTAGATAATCTTAATATCGATGATATATATAAACAACAGTATATTAAGCTAGTATAATACTCATCAACAAAACGTATTATATTGATAGAATGCGTCGCTGTTGATATGCATTGTCGATATTAAGATTATCTAATAGAAAGTTACTATTTAGTACGCGTATCAAGTGCACGATATAAACTACGCCATTCAAATGCAGGATTCACACCGCGTCCGATGTCCGACGTATGACCGATATCCAATAAAAGAATAGCTTTCCAATGGAGAATTGAATTCTATATTAGAAAGCTGTTCTCCTATTGGATATCGGACGTCGTACGTTGGACATCGGATGAGATGTGAATCCTGCATTTGATTCGACTATGAATATCGGCCATAAGGCTCTTGGTTACTCACCGCGGCCATCTTAATTCTTGACTTTAGAAGTAAACAAATGCATACCCAAAATCTCTATAAAATATGTCGAAATAAAAAAAGACATCCAAAAAATGACACTTGCAAATCGATTAAAGCTGCGTTCGGGGAAATGTTATTTAGCGCTATGAGCATCCTCTGTCCTTGTTCAAGAATAAACAAGACAGAACACACTCATAGCGCTAAATAGCGTCTTCCCAAACGCAGCTTAAATACTCGAATTTTGAGCATATATTCCTAGCTTTTGACGTCATTAATCAAGAATTTTGTGACAGGTAGCCTTAAAAATCCTTTCACTTAGCTACACACTTAGTAAAGATTCTTGTCTTACTTTGCGATAAATAAAAAACTTTGGCCGATATTCTGAATCCTCTTTTATCTATAAAAGTGCTTCTAAAAGAGGCTTAGGAGCCACCTGATTGGCTGAAAAGCTATATTTAAAGCACTCTTATCGATAAAAAAGAATTCAGAATATGGGCTTTTATTTCTTGCAGGTTTAAATCTCATTCAATGTGGAGAACTGAAATTTTATCATTATAATTAAGAAAAGTGACTTAGTTTATGTAACCTGTTTTTATTAAAGATTTTTAAATCTCTGATTTTCAGCAAAGTAGAATAAGAGTCTTTACCAAGTGTGCTAAGTGAAGTTCTAATTACTGATTGAATTGACAATACGTTGCACTATTTATCTACCTGTCCACAGATAGTTAACCAATAATTATTAATAAGTACTAATCGATTAATTGCACAAAAACACAATCCGGTAAGTGTTTTATAAAATAAAAATTGCGTGGTAGTGTAAAATAATATTGAAATATTAAACTACTCACATAGCACGCAATATTATATAATGTCACAGTAATATTTCCGTAATATTTCTGCGATATTACAATATTACGTAAATATTACTGTGACACTATGTAATATTACGTGCTATGTGGGCAGTAATATTAGTTTTTTTTTCTTATGCTAAATAATAGCTTGCACTAGCTTTCTTATGTTTACGTTCTTCTGTTTCTACGAGAAAGGATAACGCGCCAAGTCAAAATAGTCCGACAGCGAAAGTGTGGATGATTACATGCTACGACGTGAAAACTGATATGCGTGCAGTTATGCAAAGTTCGTTCGTGGAATAACGAAACGCAATATAAGACATAAGATCTTTCTTTGTGCATGTGTTGGAAATCGAGATTGCCACAAGTTATATCGATTTCAACCCTGTTCGCGAAAGGTCAGACAGACAACATTATTTAAAAAGTCCGATAGAGTTATATGTAATAAATCAATATAATTAAATCATGTTCTCTATTATTTGAAAAACGTCTGACATATTAAACAAGTTTCTTATAATTTATCACAGACTATTGTTTCAATTGAGAAGTATATATGTTTAGATAAATATTTGATCGTTTAGAAACGCCTATTTATAAGATATGATTAGAAATGAAAAAATAGACTCGTAATTAAAATTATTTGTGATAGACCATGAGTATTTTCAGACAAATATTTAATCGTTCAGTAAGCTATATTTAATATTTATCTGCGCGAATGTACATACTTTTCCATATAACTCGAATTATAAATTTATTTCTTTCGTTTTTAATTATACTTTATGATTAATTATCTGTAAACGACTGAATATTCATCTAAACATATATGTTCCAATTGAAACAATAGTCTATAATACATTCGTATAGAAAATTTTTCTAAAATATCAGATAATAGATCTGATATTTATTAGCCAAAATACGCTTCTGTTATATTGATGTTTTATGTGTAGCTCTATCAAATTTTTTTAAGCAGGGATCCGCGTTCAATACTCTCGAACAGTTTCTCGTAGTGGCAGGCGCTATTTTTCCTCATCTCGTTACGTTTCTTCCCGTCTTTTCACTCGCTTTCTCATGTCATTGTCGGTCATTTTCTCCTTCCCTTTTCATCGAAGTCATCGTTCTCTCTTGATCTCGATTTTTTCTTTCGACCTTTTACCAGCAAATTACTTGCGCTGGGAATAATCGTGTCAAACGTCGCCGATATCTTTTATATATTGGCAATTTATGTATATCTGCCTTCTCTTCGCCACTTCCCTTCACCCACCCGAACTAAATCCCGTGATGATATAATGGAAGAGCGCAGTATGCAGCGAGCCAGTGTCATCTGCATTCACATGTCGTTGAGAATCAGTTTCAGCATTTTTTCAATTTCCTCGTGACACCGCGCGTTTCGCTCTATCCAGTGAGATATTTTGTGAGTTTACAATCACAGTGACATCTATTTCCAACACTAAAAAGGGCATCTAAAAAGACGTGTGCAACATATAGGGGAGAGCGGGGCACAAAGGACCACTTAACATTCTAAGGTTAATAAAAAATTTATCAGTTATAGGAAATGGCTTAAAGTTGCTCAGAATATATCTACAAGGGTTATGCATACGCAGACAAAGTGTTAGTTTAATAACTGTAAGAGATTTTATTTTAAACATTAAAATTGTTGGAAAGAACAATAATCCTCTGTACCCCAAGCACGAAGCACAGAGGACCATGTATGATTTTCTATATATGTATGATAATATTTTGCCTATCAAACATATAAGTAGAAACAGAGTAATAAACATAAGCTTATCATTTCCAGATACACATATATGTATATATATGTGTGTGTGTGCGTGAAAGCAACATATGAAGTGAAAAAAACAATGTTTTATTGGCATTTCTTCCTTCATTTTTAATTAATAGGTACATAATAAGAACAATATATTTATTATATAATAACGAAAAAATATTTATTTATTATAATTAATATATATATTAATATATGTGCCCCAACGATCCCGGACCTCTGTGCTCCAAACACACACTTTACAATAAAATACACATATTTATGTCTATATGACAATGTAAAAATAATGTAAATATACACATAACTTCTTTAATGTATTGTGGATACGTTTGTGAAATATACGTTTCTTTAACGTATTGTGGATACATAGATACGTTTGTGAAATTTAATTTCACAATAATAATACTATGTCATTACTTTATACGAACATATTAATATTATATTTTAACACAAGCGTACTTTCAAAAGTGATCCTTTTGCAGTTTTTTTGTTACAACTTTCTTTATGAGGTTTGCTTACATGGCCTACTGTCATTACACTATTAGCGGTTGTCTGTTTATTGTAATTTCTTCATTTTCAAACGGATGACGTTTGTTTATCTGTTTTATAAGCGGTGGCTCTGTGCCTCCCTGGTCCTCTGTGCCCCCCTCTTCTCTAAGCATTTATTTTTGCTTCAAGTAATTTTATGTATACAGGGTGTCCGTCCATAAATGTCCGAGCAAATATCTTGTAACTGGTTATAGTTACAAGAAAGCGAAATTTACATGGCTCTTAGTCAGCTACAAAATGCATGTAAAATTTTTTTTTAACTCGTGATCTTTTCGAATTATGAAGGTTAACGTAGTTTTTTTAAATGGATACCTATAATTTTTTTTACATATTTATACAATAGGAGTAATTTGCAATCAAAATCATATTCAGTAAAAAATTGCTAGTATGCATCGTTTACGAGATAATCGCCATGTTAAGTTTTAAAATAATAAATTGTATTATGAATATTTTTGAATGTTTAATAGGTTGGAATGTAAAACAGTTTGAGAAAGTAAATAATGTTTTTTTATGAAACATTTACTAACACATAAATTGTTCGAAATTTTTACCATCACGATCGATACAGCATTCAACGCGTCTTATATTTCTCATTGTTAACTGCAGCATATCTATTGTAATACTTTTAACAGCTCTAGTGATCTTATGTCGTAATCTTATGTGTTAATAAATGTTTCATGAAAAAACATTTTTTACTTTCTCAACCTGTTTTACATTCCAACCTATTTAACATTCAAAAATATTCATAATAAAATTTATTACTTTAAAACTTAACATGCTGATTATCTCGTAAACGATGCATACTAGCAATTTTTTATTGAATATGATTTTGATTGACTCCTACCGTATAAATATGCAAAAAAATTATAGATATCCATTTAAAAAAACTACGTTGACTTTCATAACTCGAAAAGGTTATGAGTAAAAAAAAGTTTTTATATACATTTTGTAGCTAAGAGTCATGTAAATTTCGCTTATTAAACTTTCTTGTAACTTCAACCAGTTACGAGATATTTGCTCGGACATTTATGGACGGACATCCTGTATATTCAAACGCTTAAAAAAATTAAATTTTTAATAGTTTTAATTTTAAAGACAACAGTTAAATAAAAAAATTAAAAAATAGTTTTAATTTTAAAGATAATAGTTAAATAAGAAAATTAAAAAATAGTTTAATAGTATTAATTTTTAAGTTTTAATATAATAAACTTTAAAATTTAATTTATTAAAACGTTTGAACATGATTTATTTTCAAGATATTCTTGATAGCGATGTTAGATATTAAAAGATTGAAGTTGACTACAATATAATCGCCAAATCAGTAGACGAAATTTATTAGTTAATTTATTAGTTATCCTATTAGTAATCACAAATGTAATTTAATCGATTGATAAAATTAATTATTAATCATGTATAGTTAATCAGATAAAACTTTGGCGATTAATTAATTTTGATTATTGATTTGCCGATCATTTTAGTCAACTAAAATTTTAATTTATTAATGTTCAACACTGTTCGACACGTCGTTCACTGCGTTTAGTGAATATTATCTACTCTGTAGATAATATTCACCTCATATAAGATTAAGAGGCTCTGAGCCTCTTAATAAAATAATTAACTCAAAGAGGAATCTCTCTGATAAATAAAATTGTGATTGAGGACATCAGTTTCCGAGAAGAAAGAACTTGATATGATAAATTTACTATGTTTAAACTTAATTTATTGTACGAAGATAAGAATATGAAGCGAGCAAAGGTGTAGAGAGAGAGAAAGACCATTATTAAGTAACGAGGCAAATCGATAAGATTACGAATAGGAATTTATTGAATCTACAAATGATTAATTGTGCCACAAATGATGAAATATGTCCCAGACACATGACGATATATTTTCTCGAGGTCACGCGCGTTCGTTTGAAACCTGAGCTTCTTAAAGTTGCTGCGAGATATCGCGAATACACACGAATTTATCGTACGAAGCGTGACTGGTCGGAATTTTGAACTCAAATCGTTTGGTTTTGAATATCCTTTTACATCGATGCGTGTCGAAGATATCTACGTGGCGGAAAAGCATTACAATGAAAGTAACAAAAGATAAATCTCATCGTATTATTAAGAATAACGATAAGATAGAAAATTTATTATTTCACTGGCGTTATACGTACGCGTTCCGCGTAATCTTGATGATGTACGACATAAGTGCTGGAATTATCGGAGTACTTGTAAGTGGAATTTAAATATTTATCCATATGTAAGCGCGAACGCGCGCTCTCGTCACAGCAGGTTCGAATTCTTCCGGTATATTTTCAGCGATGAAAGTAACTTTCGTCGTACTTTCTCGAGTTTAACTTCGCACGAAAGATCAGTTCTCCGTAATTCGTCGCGCGCTCCGTCTGTTCGCACGTTGATCCATCAACTACAACACGAAGGGTTGATACAAAAAGATTAATATAACAATTAATGTCATTAATATAACAGTTAATATAACAAATACGACAAATATAAACATTAATATAACAATTTTCTCTTTTTTTCTATATCGCGGAATAATCAAGATAGATGTTATAGCGTATAGGTGTATTCTAATTGCACGACGACAGTTAATCTTATCGCAACAAGAGGAAGTTCGCTGATAAGTTGAGAACCGAACTGAACGGAAATGGGGATTTTCGCACGACCAATTGTGGAAATTTCGAGCACGCCGAGAGAGGTGAGATAGCAAAATATAAAATCTTGCGATGGCGATAATATTCGTATACAGGATGCGCGAACGGGAATGAAATGAGATACCACAGTTAGTTTGTGTTTCACTGCGTCGCAAGAATAACGGATAATTTAGTAAGCTAACGTTAAGCGAGTAACACGCTTGGATGCAGGGGCAAAAGATAGCGACGAACGTGACGTCACAGGCACATCATGTGTCCAGGAAGAAACGGGGTCAGGCGATCGGCTCTGTTGGAGGATTTCGCGGATGCACGATCTGGATGACCGGGTTGTCTGGCGCCGGGAAGACCTCCATCTCTTTCCAACTCGAGGAGTATCTCGTCTCTCGGGTAAGTTGCAACGACGCTATTGACTTCGTTCCTTGTCATTCTAACTGCTGCGCGTCCTCTCAACAAGTCTCTCCCGGTTGTTCGAACAGGGAATTCCCGCGTACAGTCTAGACGGCGACAATATACGCACCGGTCTGAACCGTAATCTCGGCTTCAGCAAGGAAGACCGCGAAGAAAATGTACGTCGCGTCGCCGAGGTCGCGCGACTCTTCGCCGACGCCGGCGTCATCGCCCTCTGCAGCTTCGTGTCGCCATTCGCGGCGGACCGACAAATGGCTCGCGAGATCCACGAGAACGCCGATTTGCCCTTTTTCGAGGTGTTCGTCAAGGCGTCGCTCCAGGTGTGCGAAAGTCGCGATGTCAAAGGACTCTACAAGAAGGCACGTCAGGGTATTATCAAGGGCTTCACCGGTATCGATCAGAAATACGATGTGCCGTCCGAGCCCGACCTCGTTGTCAACACGGAAAACATGAGCGTACAGCAATCCACTGAGCGCGTCATTGACTTTCTCCAATGTAAACGAATTATACCGGAATCTTGCGGTGTCGGGCAGCCTCTTGAGCTCTTCGTGAGCGACGATCGGCTGGCGGACGTTCGCAGAGAAATCACGGCTTGTCCGGCTTTGGAAATCGGCGAGGTGGACGTACAGTGGCTGCAGGTTCTCGCGGAGGGGTGGGCGGCGCCTCTGAAAGGATTCATGAGAGAAAATGAGTACCTTCAAGTAAGATTCAAGACTGGATAGCTTCGTCTGATTTACAAGATTATAGCTTTACCCAGTAAACACCAACTAATAATAACGTTACGTTGATGTTATAATTTCCCACTCAATAATATAAGTGCGATAAAATATGCGTTTACCCAACCGTTACATCGTTGAGTGGGAAATTATAACATTGATGTAGTGTTACTCAGTGTTTATTGAGTAAGAAGTATCACACAAACATCTCGAATACACCTTCTGTTCTTACACAGACGCTGCACTTCAATTGTCTATACGAGAACGGTGCTCAAATCAATCAATCAATCCCTATCGTTCTCGCCGTGAATGCCGACGATAAAGAGCGATGTTCTAATTTGGACACGCTCGTTCTCAGATATCAGGGCAGAGATCTGGCGGTTTTGCGCAAACCAGAATTTTACTATCATCGTAAAGAGGAACGTTGCTGCCGCCAATTCGGCACGAACGATCCCCGACATCCTTACGTAAAGATGGTCTTGGAATCTGGCGATTGGTTGGTCGGCGGTGATTTGGAAGTCCTCGAGAGGATTCGCTGGAACGACGGTCTGGATCGTTACAGGATGACGCCTAATGAAATTAGGGCCAAGTGTGTGGAGATGGGCGCCGACGCAGTTTTTGCTTTTCAGCTGCGAAATCCGATACACAACGGACATGCATTACTGATGCAGGTTCAGTGCCGCTCTTGTTGCACAAGATACTTTGCGAGAACTTGTCTATTAATTGCATAGAATCAGATAATCTTCTTTGTATATTTCAGGATACCAGGAAACGTCTCCTCGAGGAGCATGGCTTCAAAAAGCCGGTGCTTCTCCTTCATCCCCTCGGTGGTTGGACCAAAGATGATGATGTTCCATTGCCCGTTAGGATACGTCAGCATGAAGCTGTTCTTGAGGAAGGTGTCCTGCACGAAGACACTATTCTCGCTATTTTTCCTAGTCCTATGTGTTATGCCGGCCCTACGGAGGTAATATTTGTCAGTCGTTTTTTATATAAAAGCTTTACATATAAATAAATAAATAAATAAAATAATATATATAATAAATATGTAATAAATATACTAATTTCAGGTGCAATGGCACGCCAAAAGCCGTATGATAGCCGGTGCGAACTTTTACATCGTCGGCAGAGATCCCGCAGGCGTTCCTCATCCTGATAAATCCGCTACACCGGATGGCAACCTTTATGACAGCACTCATGGTGCACGTGTCCTTTCAATGGCACCAGGTTTGCAAAGTCTCGAGATCCTTCCCTTTAAAGTGGCCGCTTACGACACCAGGACGGAGAGTATGTCCTTTTTCGAAGCTGAACGAAGACAAGACTTTGTCTTCATTTCTGGTACCAAAATGCGTGGTAAATGCCTTTTTATTCTTATCATGCTTTACGCCTCTATATGCTGTTTTCAGTACTAATATTATTTTCTTTTCATACTAGGCTTGGCCAGAAATGGCGAGGATCCTCCCAAGGGCTTCATGACGCCGAAAGCGTGGAAGATTGTCGCAGAATATTATCAAAGTGTACACATACACGCAAAGAGTTAATAGTAATATTGGAGGATAAATAATATAATAATGTTAATATATACATACCCATACATGTACATATCTTGCAGCAACATTGCAGCAACACTGCTGCAACTTTTAACATTGCTGCAACGTTGCAGCAATATTACTGCAAGATCTTAGCTGCATGGAATAATGTATAAAGCATAATGCAATATATATAAGATGAATAACACAAAAAAATTATGTATAATATAACAAATACCGATATTGTATAAATAGCATGAAACATTTAACTAATATTAAAGCGATAGATAATAAAAAGTAAAATAAATATAGAAAGGTCAACAAGCCTGGAACCTTTGATCGATAAATAAGCTACTGTGAAATCGCTGAGATAATGAAAGAAGACTTGCATGTTGTTGCTAGTCTAATACCTCTGGTATCTTTATTTATTGCATCGAATGACATGGAAGGACATTTTGTAGCTTAAATATATTTGACGATCAGCCGAGAATCGGCGATGGAAAGTATTCTGCCATTTAATCTGGTACATCTGCAATACCATGTTCTATTATTTTTAAAATATTCGTGTTTTTATATTATAAAAAATAAGCCATTTTTTTTATCTACGTGACCCCAGCAGATAATTATATTATCTATTTACTAAGCAACTAAATATGGTGATAAAGTACACACTTACCCTCTTCAGAATCGGATATTCGAGTAGCTTGAAGCGAGCTTTGTTTCGTCAACGTTCGTGCTAGGCCTCGTGGTCTTGGCGGCGGAGATTGCTTGTTCCAAAGCGCTTCCAATTGGTCAAAGTGTTGGGACTGCGCTAAAGCGGCTTGCTCAGGACCCAGCCCAGTTTGCGAGCCGCTCAAGTCCGCCTTGCTGATTTCTTCCATTGATGCGCTTACACTGAAGCGACGTTTCAGACGCTCCTCAACGCTTGAGACTATAATACCTGAAGTATACATGAAATAATTATAGTAATATCATATTACATGAATTAAATCTAATAGATGTGATAAGATGGATAATCGCCAAGTAATTTAAATTCTACAAAGACGATTGATTACCTGACGTAAGATGTCCATACTTTCGCTGCCAAGTATAAGTATCTAAGGACACCTCCTTCTTCAGCAATCGCCTAGCGGGTCGCTTCGGTCCTGGTGGCCTCAGGTCCCGCGGTGCCACGTACGGTGGCAGTTTGACATATTGCGCGGGTGTATTGTGCAGACAGAGAATAGGCATGCACTTGTGTTCCAACAGGTGCACTGCCATTCTAGAACAATCAGTGGATATCTCGACACCCAAGACCGGCACATGTAGCATAATGGAGCTGAGTGAAGTGCCTTTTTTGGTGTCCCAGACAATGAGGCTCTTGTCCTCGCTTCCTGAAGCAGCCAGAGTGCCGTCGCCCGAGAGTCGCACACAGATCACGTAACCCAGGTGACCCGTGAGAGTGTGCAAGTCGGCGCCAGTGTTGATGTCCCAAACGATCAAGTTAGCGTCCCGAGAACCAGACACCACTATGGACTTGTCGATTACCGCAACCGCGACGCAAGTCACATGGTCAGTGTGGCCGACCAAGACCTGGGAAAGTTTACCACCAGCCAACTGCCACACCTTCAGGCTCATATCACGGGAGCCGGTGATCAGGTACTGAGAATCCGGCGTTGCCACTAAGCACGTGATGTCTTGCGAGTGCGACACTTGATGTTTCTCCTCGGGACCAGCGCCCAAACTAATTATGCGCACCTGGTTATCGCCAGATCCGCATACCGCATATCTGGAGTGATGGATTGGTTGAGCTGGGAGGAGGCGTTAGTACAAATGGGTCTTGAAATAGTGATTAGAGCTAAAGATGAATAGAAATGCAAAAAAGGAGATGAGAGTCCAAGTCCAAGTCCAAGTAGATCAGAAAGGAAAAATTATATCTTTATATTTTTACTATGAATTCTTTCCTTATACATTACCTCATATCAGACGCGACAGCAAAGCATCGCCCGGGTCCGCAAACAGATTGTATCAGTGTGCCACTGTCTGCTGCCCAGACTCTAATGGTACCAGCCCGATCTGAACTGACCACTCTTCTCCCATCTAGCATAGCAGTGACAGCAGTTACCGGCGCTTGGTGTCTGAAAGTAGCCACGACGAGGCCCAGAGTCAACCCCCATACACGTACAGTCTTGTCTTCAGATCCTAGGTAAATATATACAAATTCTCAGGTCATTATCAATTGATGTATTAAAAGTGCTAAGACCAGTTATAGTTTCATAAAAATATGTGCCAGATGCAACGAAGAGTCCTGACGCGGAAAATGCGATGCACGTGATGCTGGCGATGTGTCCCTCCAAGGTAGACAACAATTCGTGAGTGTTGAGCTGCCAGAGATTGACTAGAGAATCGACGCCACCGGTGACCGCCATTGCACCATCCCTGGAGATGTCCAAGCAAGATATCGGCGCGGTGTGCGGTTGCAGGGAGTCCTGTTTGCCGGGTTTCTGCGGTTTCGGCGGTGGTTCCTCACCGCGGAAACTCCAGTAAGTCACACGACCTCCTCCGCCGGTTATCAGAAAGTCGTCTTTCTCAGTTACCTGTACGAAATGAATATATTATATATTATATATTATTAGGTATAGAATAAACAAGGAAACACGACAAAATCACCATTACGTTTACTCACTTTAACTGAAGTGACGCTCGTTGACGGGTTAGCGGGCAAGGTTTTAATCAATCTTCCGCTGTGCATATCGAACACGGATACTCTGCCTTCGGTGCCTCCTGCAATAGCTCTTCTGCAATCCTTCGCCAAACAGAGGCTTTTAACTGGCCCTTGATGACCTCTGAGCGTATGGATCTCCGTGCCCGTAGCCAAAGACCTCAGATAAAGCTTTTGGTCCTCGCAAGCAGCCAGAAGGAAAACCGAGTCAGCGGACACATCTAACATGGCCACTGGAGATGGAAGAACAATGCTGTTGAGAAGGATGAAGCTCTCCAAGGACCAGAGACAAACCGTGCCGTCGGCCGATCCGGAAACCAGGACCTCCCCGGCTGAATTGACGCGAATAGTGGTGACGGGGCCACGATGATGATCAACTTTCATCAGAACCTCGCCGGTGAGCAAACTAGTGGCGATAATTCTGGAATCCTCACCACCGCTCACGATAACCGAGTTGTTGAGAGCTGTAGTTAAAGTGAGGATAGGCGCGATGTGCTCGCAAATCCGACGTTTCATGACGAGGTCTTTCATGTCCCAGACGATAATGGAGGTGTCCTCGGAGCCAGTTAGCAGATATTGTGATTGATGTGTGACAGCTAAACATGAGATCGGACTAGAGTGTCCTGAAATAAGAAGGAAAGAAAGGCATTAATTAATAACAGTTATCAATTTATGCTGTTAGTCTCCGTGAAGGGCAGACGCGTAGAAACAAGTTGAAATAAAGAGGAAAGATATCCCGGAAATGACATCAACTCACTATTAAGCCACATCTCTCGCTGTCCTCCTACCTTTAAACGTATGGACGAGTTGACCAGACATGACGTGCCATAGCTGTGCATCACCTTGTGGTGGCACGACGACGACGTGCTGGCCAGATGGTGCTGCTTCGATCAACTTGACCCCCTGAGGACATGTAAGCGCTCGGATCTGCAGCGGTAGAGGTGGCTGCAGCCACCCATTCAAGGGCACGAGCAAAGGGGCGGTGTAACCGTCGCACCAAGCCATAGCCGCCATGACCATTCTACTAACCTTGAAGAAGCGAGTTGAATGAGATTTTTCCTATCTACGGCGTTACGGTGTGGAAATCACTCATCTTATCGATAGAAGACAGAAGAAACTTACGAGGTCGCCGCCATCCTCGGCGACCGGCCTTAACCAGCAGATGAGCTGCGCCGCGAGTTGAAGCGGATCTCTGGTGAGAACATCGCTGGACTTTCTCACGGCATAATATACGAGCTCCAGGTCACGCTCGAGGAGGTATCGTCTCGCATGCTCGAGGACACAACGGAGGTAGCTCACGGAGATCATCTGTACGGCTGCAAGTAGGAAATCGAAAGCGCAGACGGCGAGTTTCTTCAGTTTATCGACGTCGGAAGCGCGCAAAAGGTGTAGCCACGCCTCCTCGACGTGCCGCAGCGTATATGTGATGTCTTGGCTCTGTGGCGCGCTTTGAAACGGCGTTTCCTTGGCGGGCGCCGAGGAAGTCGCTGGATTCTCCGACTTTTCGGAATTGTCGTCGGCGTCCTCGGAGAAGAAGAGGCTTGCCAACTCTGTGTAGTAGCCGCGGGAAGTATCCTGATTCGAGAGGTACTTCCTGAGAGCAATCTCGCGACATTGTCCGCGCCAGGAGAACAGCAGTCGACCGCTCATCACTCGCACCTAGAAGAATAGTTTGTAAAGCTGAAAGATAATACGAGAATTTACCATGGATAGATGATGAAATCAAAAGCCTGAGCCTGATCAGCTGCTCAATTTATCAGATTAGTGCAAAAAATTTGTCATTTTTCTATTAAATTCTCATAGGAAGTTTAGGTATTCAAAGTAAAATAGGAAATCCTCGTTGAATACCTAAAAAAGTACCGAGTTAACGTTGTTCATTTTATTTGAAAAAATGATTAATCCTTCGAAATTAGATAATTTGGTTTTCTATTTTGTTTGACAAACACGACAATACCTTTGACAGTAACTTAATACTACGCGTCCTACACGGTATCGAAAGCTTACTCTAAGCCACGGCGCGAATGTTCTTCTGACTAGACACCAGGTTGCAAAGTTGAAGTGGCTCTCCTCTAAGAGTAACGGCCCTTCGCCGCCGGTCGGCATGATCAGCTCGAGTATCTCCGTCTCCGACAGGCCGTACTCGGTGCAAGCGAGAATCGAGGCGACTCGCGTGGCCGCGTCGAGTCCGATCAGACTTTCCAGCTGTTCCAGGGTCGCATCGACGCGCGGTGACACGCACGTGCGCCCAACGAGTTCGACGAGAACATCGGTGGCGCGCAGACGATCCTTCTGAAGCGGCGTGAGGCGCATCCCTTCGGGCGGCAACGCGGTTGTCGCGATGAAGTGAACGCCGGCGGGAAGCGTGAGCGGTAACCACGACAGGGCAGCGACAATGTCGCACTCGAGCGGATGGAAGCGATGGAGATCGTCGAACAGAATGACCAGCTGTTCCGGCAACGGATGTTCCTCGATGCGGCGCATAATGAGACTGAACCAGTTGTTGAGATAGAGCGGATCGAAGGAGGCGTCGCGCGGCAGGTTACCGTCGTTGTCACCGGCGAGGAAGCCGACGTGCTGGCAGAGGATGCGGAGGAGCTCCAGGCTGTAGGCGGAACGTGGCGTCGAAGCGCAGAGCCGGACAACGCGGAGCGTCGGCGCCGCGAACCAGTCGGGTGAATCCTGATAGATGCGCGCGAGAATGGAGGACTTGCCGGACGACTTGGGCCCGCAGATCAAGATGGGTCCGTGCTTATGCTCCTTGCCTGCAGAGATGTATGTTACGGATATAATCGTTCAGTCTCCACATAACGTAAAAATTAAAGTGTTAGTATTATTAAAATGTTACTATAATATCTCAATAAATTCAATCTTTTTTGGGGAATATAATGTGTTGTAGTATACGCGCCGAAAGAATTTTAAAGTAAAAATTATTATAGGGTTTCGTATATAACCAAGGAATAAATAAATTTAATATTTAAGTTTTTAAGTTTTAAAGCCCATTCTACAATTGCGTAAGCGTAGTCGTGAACGTAAGAGTCAACCAATCCGAATGTTTTATTCACTGATTGCTTTACTCTGATTGGTTGTCGTAATCATTTACAACCACTTACAACCACGTTCACGCAATTGTAGAATGGGCTTAATATTGATACAGTATTTTTGTGGATTTTTGCACGTTCTTACGAGAGATCACGAGTCTGTCTTTGAAAACGGGAACGCACCTGCAAGGATAAGTTGCTTGACTCGTTTCACAGCCTCGTCGCCCTCGTCGGCCAACGGCAGTTGTCGCAGAAGCGCGAAATGCGCCATACTCTCGGCGTAAACCTCCTGAACCATCTTCTTGCGGCTCTTTATCTCCGGGTCGGCCTCGACGGACATGTTCACCAGCTGCTGGAGCCTATCCAGTATCAGTTGGCGGAATTTTCCGAGATAGTCTTCGTGGATGTCGTGGTCGGCGTCGATGCCGCCGTTACGGTGTTCCACGGACAAGCGCAAGACGTTGTCGTGAGGTAGGACCGATTCGATGCGAGCTTTGAGTTCGATGGCCGCTGGTGCACTTGTAGGCGCATCGCCGCCTGTCCACTCGCGGATCACAGCCATTATTCCCAAGCCCTGCTGGTCTAGACCTGGCGGGAACGTGTCGACGATTTATCACCGATGTTGTAATCATTACACATGTAACAAGGCGGAATTATCGGTACTGTTACACGTGTCTCTTGGTGCTTCTGTCTCTGCATAGTGAGGTTGTCGGAGAGCTCGTTATTAACACACTCGCAGCGTGTATAATACCTTGTACGTCGGGAACTTGCATCAATCGTTAATTAATTAACGCGCGAAATATTCATGAACGATTGTCTAGCGGATTGACTGATTGCAAGAATAAACCGTTGCGAGCGGCAATTAAATTTCCAGACAGAGAAAGAGAAGGCGGCGCTGAACAAAGCACAAAGCGCTTCGATTTCTAGTCTTTCTGTTCTTTGTTATAACGCACAATAACGCGGCGAGTGCGTTATATTCCCGGTGAACAGCCGCAACGCGTCGCTACACGGAGAATAATTTAAGCAGCGCGCAACGCCTGACCTAGAAGGGATCCTCTTCTGGCGGACAAGGCTCGATAGGCCATGTCAAGCGCGATGTCAGAAATTCATCAAATATTGACGGCTATGAAGGCGGTGGCAGCGCCAATATCCCGATTTGCATTTCGTTACTTATTTACGAACTTGCGGAAGTGTGACGTGCACGGATTGTTACATATATTCGAGTTACAACGATTCACGATCCTCGTCTAAAGTTTCAAAATTAAAAAAAAAATATATATATATATATATTTGGTAAAAGAAAGATACAAGATCCAATAACCAAAATGTTAGCGGTATGTTGCTGGCAGATTGGCGGTGGTTTCGATTCGACTACCGTGATAGATTCATAGCCGTCTGTGTTAAATTTGTATTTTAACACAGTCGACAGAGCCTGCTGGTGTAATTTTACAGCAGATTGACGGAAGTGGAGCAGGATTCCATTTGAATATATTTAAATGGTTACAGAACGGCAGATCCTGCACGATTTCTGCCGACAAAATTAACAGCAGACACTGCACTAAAGTTCCTGCAAGTTTGGCTATCTGGCAGACATGGGATTTCGAGTGATTTTCGTAGTTCCAGTGAATCTTAAATGTTGACACTCACTTAGGCCGTACTCTAGCTGTCGTTCTGCCGTGCTCTTCAGTATGTATCTCAGTTCCTGGTTCTCCGGTTGCTCCAGGATCGCCGCTTCCGCGGCAGTCTTCAGCGCCTGACGCAACTCCGGTTCTTGATTCTTTTTCCAGTCGCACTGAGCTGTTTCCACACTGTTTACAAGTCCGTTTATTAGTGGATCGAAGATAAAGAGCTTCCGGAGAGGAGTAATATTTCAAACATCAGCTTTACCTGCTTGCTTTCAAAACGTAACACTGCCCATTGTGGTCGTAATAATCCTTGAGAATGGCACAATGCGCGTGAAGAGCTTGAAAAGTTGTTTTCTTCAACTCCGTGGGTATCCATCCTGCGGTGTATGTTGTTCCCGCCAGCAGCTGAAAGGATAACAAATGGACGAGTCGTTCCTCCGAGCGCGTGTTACACTGCAAATGTAGACGAAAGGGTGAAGAAGGGGGTGACGTGGCGATAAAAATGACCTCATTGGTAACACGAACGAAAAAGAAAAGGGAAAAGAGAACCGCGAGTTGCAAATGCCTTCGTAGCGCGGCAGTATTCGCGGTAACTGACACGAGCCGTTAAAATATTTCGTAGTCAGAGGATATAAAGTCGTTATATATAAGGTCGTTGCTATATTACGCGATGATGAAAAATAAATATCACGACAGTCGGTATATCAGCCGAGCGAGTGTCGCGTATCTCTCACCAAGAGGAAGCATCCCCTGGAATGCAGATGGCACGCGCTTATCTCCTCCAAGAAGTATTCCGCGAGACGTGGGTTGACGTCCGGGTCATCACCGGTACCATATTGCATGTCCACTAGAAGCACCTGCGCAAAAGTCAACTCGTCGCAGGTGGTGTCGGAGTTCGATCATCAAGGCAAATGAATTCGCGAACTGACCTCGATCCCTATGTCGTCGTAGATCGATTGCAATTCCGGACCCACCACCTCCAGCAGCTGTTTGCGCTCTTCCGGAAAGTCTAGTTGGCACGATCGCCGAACGAATTCAATCAAACGTTAATGAACTCTCGCACGCCCGAATAAACTCTCTGAATGGTTTTTCACATCAATACATCAAATCCACCGAAAATTTTTCATAAAAATATTAAATATACCACACTATAGTCTATTTATATCTTTAAAATCGTGCGTGATGATGCACCAGTCTTTTTTGATTAATAACTTAAAAATCTGCGTGATTTTTTGCAAAATGATAGATGACTTTTTTGTTCAGTTTGATCTGGTATATAAACACACAGCGGCAGACATTGCCATCAGCAATATCCGTCGTAACGATCATTTACCAACCTTCTTTAATTAATAACACAAAATTTTGTGGTTTGCGAAACGGTAAAGGAATTTTACGTTCAATTTGAAGAGTTCTGTCTGCACACAGCAGGTGTGTCAACAATATATATATTATATATATTAAACATATTAAACATATATATACTTAAAACAATATAAATATATATATATATATATATATATATATATATATATATATATAAATATATATTTATATTTAAAAAAAATACATATATACTTCATGAAAATATATAAATATATCTCATAGAAATTATAAATTTCAAACTCACCGTTCCTCTCGCCAGCGATGAATATCTTGATAAGCCTCGGTGCTGGCAAATGTGCCGGGGGTGGGCCACCCTTAATCACCCCGGCGATCAGTTCCACCTCGAGATTCATATTTGCTGAGACTTCCCGATACGAGTCAGGCGATAATCATCGTACACCGACTGCTATATATTCGCTACGCCTGCTACACGCTGTTTACATTCGCGTCCGCGTTTCCCCTGCAGCCCTGAGATATTTTTATTTCCGATCCCTAACAATGTTGTATCGTTCGATCGTCGATTCCGCTGACCGTATTATTATTAGAGAACCTTTCAGTAGGAGATGTAGCACGGTCCCTCTGAACGTTGCATTCTTTATATCCTCAAGATGTCCGCGGATTCTTGGATTCCCGAACGTATGGACCCCAAAGTTTCAACTTGGATGCGCGGCTAAAACTTCTCCGATTCTTCTTTTATTATCAGACGCTCGAACGTGGGACAGTTTGCTTATAGATTGATAGAATTCTCGATCGTTAGACTTTGGAATCTCGACATCGGACGCGAGGTCGACCAAGTATCAGGCGCTCCTCAAAATTTTGTAGATCTCGAATGCAGAGAACTCTCAGATGTCTTCCGTCGTTCTGACTTCAGAAGCGTTTCTATCGCTCGCAAGGTACTCGTGTGTCGATATATGTATATTTGATCGATCCGGCGATCAGTAATTAAACAATATATAATAATCCATGCTCAACAAATAATGGAGATCGTGATTTTCGATCTGCAGCTCGTTCATATATATATATATAGAGAGAGAGAGAGAGAGAGAGAGATTCATATATATATTTATATATCTATTTAATATATATAATATATATATATATATATATATATTTAATATATATATAATTCGATAACTAACCAGCTACGATTGTCTTCGCTTGCGAGTGCAACGAGCGTTACATTGATTCGCTAATTACGATTAGGCGATACCCTTGATTGCCGCCGATACGTTCTCCACCGGTCGCCGAGTGATAATGCATAAGATCGACGAGTTGCGAAACTCGTCCTGATCGTTAACGTGACTTCTCCTCCGGTCCACGTTAACGTTAGTTTGTACTTGTCCCGAGCGTGCTCATTGGTCGTTGCCCGTCGGTGGTCGGAGGTATGCCAGGGCTTGAGGGAGGACGTCAAGACCCTCGGTACATGCGCACCCTATGTTCCCATTTTAAGGGCGGGGGTCATCTGTAAAGGGAGAACACATTCCGGATAATAATGTGGCGTAACCTTGCGTTTCTACTCATCGCGAAACCCTCGCGACTCCCTCGCGGCGCTTCAGCCTCAGCCACGAGCGAGAACCTCGCCGCCGGGAGAGCTTTTGCCGAGCTTTTCTCGCTGACGCGCGCGAGCGGGCGGGCGGGCGGGCGAGCGGGCGCGAATCGATTCAGCATTCTTTTTGTGGATTCGGAGCGTGCGTGTGCCGCACTTCACGCACAAGAATACGAGCATTTTCGGGGGTTTCGTGATGCGATGCGATGCGTATCGATCTTCTCGTCCGAGTCGTTGGTCGCGGACGACTCTCGCGCATGGCCGGTCGTGTGTGCGAGTTTACATTACGTGCGAGTACATACATCGATCATTAATCTGAAATTTACAGGACGCAATCTCCATCAACGTCTGTCAGGTGCACGCAGCAGCAGCAGCAACAACGATGGCGGCGGCAACGACGGCGGTGGTGGCGGCGGCGGCGGCGGCGACGGTAGAAGCGGTGGAGGTGGTGGCTGCGTCGGCGGAGGTGGATCGCAGCTTGTATATATGAAATTGCTTGAGAGCTAGCGTGAACTTTTGACCCGCGGCGCAGGCGGACGAAGCCCGCTCGTGGCCATTGTTATTTTTGTGGAAATTCGAGCTTGCGCGTATCATCGACGTACACTGGTCCGCGATGGGAGATGTTCATCGGGCAAATGGAGTCCGAGCACACAGGATGAGATCGATCGCAGCGATCGATTTGCGGGACGGTACGTTCGATCGAGGAAAAGATCTCCCGCTGCACATCGTGACTCGTCCGGGAGGGGATTTTTTAGCTTGTTTGCAGACTTGTTTATCAGCTTACCGATGACGTTTCGCTATCGGCAGTTTCCTTTAGCCGCGGAACTCCGATTACGTGTTGCATCCTCCTGAGGATGAGGTAGGCGACGAACGCGCGTACATGTGCAAATGTTTGCCGTTGCGCGCTCATGCAATTCTCAGCCGTGGCGATAGGCACACAGCAAACAAGCTTTTAGCACCGTCGAGCGTACAAATTATCGCGTCCTCGCGACGCGGCTAGATCGACCGGGAGGAGAATCGGCAACAAGACGCGGTCGCAGTATCACGGCGGATGCTGGCTCTCGCGAGAGACGCAAGAATCGTGAAAAATTCCAGCGCGCGTCCTCTGACCATGTTTCGTCCGCATGCAATTTTCACGCGCCAAAGAGCTACGTCTGTAATAATACAATGTATCATGTACATGTAATATGTGCGGCAAGATAACACCTCTTTCTTCCAAGATTTAGAATGTAAACGAACAGAAAGAGAGAGAGAAAGAGGGGGGGGGAAGAAAGAGAAGAAGAGAGAGGGAGAGAGAGAGAGAGAGAGAGAGAACGGCCGAATTTCCCGACGAATCGAATTACGATCAGGGTGTTGCATGTAATTCGACCGTTTCGAGTATCGCGCGATGGGTTGAAGAGAGTAGTCGGTCAGTCAATTATAGGCCGATAGAGATTGATATCGGTACTGCCAGGAAAAATATGAAAGAAAAAGGAAAAGAGAGGAAGGAAAATAACCGCGGCGCGAGAGGCGTACGATAAGATAAAAATAGAAGAATACCATCCTCTTGGAGGAGATTGTCGCTAAACATAGTTCGAACCGTGAAGTCGACCAATTAACCTTCCGCCAACCTTCGAAGCATCTCGGCCGCGCATTTGTTTACAACGCTTACACTGAATTGTGCTGCAAAATTTTCTCACCGAGCAACGCCGATCTGCAGTTAATCGTTTCAATGAGCATTTTTTATTTTGTCTTGTCGCCGATTCTTCAATGGGTGAATTATTAGCTGTGGCGGGCTCGAGAGAGATTTGCAAACGAACAATCAAAACATCAAAATTTCTCAAGATCATTTGCTTTGATTCGTTTCTCTGATTATTTAGGGCATTCCACGCGCGCGAGCGCGCACGTACGTGTTGCGCGCGCGCGTGTGTGTGCGTGCGTGTGTGTGTGTGTGTGTGTGCGTGTGCGTACGTGCGTATGTACCTTTGTAATTACAAACCGCCATCTTTTGAATTAATTAATCGCGTTCGTTATCGAAATCATAACGAAGCGAGTCACTCGAATACTTTGCGAGCGCGATCGAGATCGAGATCGAATCGCGTTTTGCGACTATCGACGAGACGAAACGTCAAATCCGTCAGACGATCACGTTCCCGAAATACGAATTTATTAAACACCAGAAGCCGCATTCTCCTCGCGCGGAACCTCCATTCGATTCTATTCTACTCGATCCCCTCCTCTCCTCCCGTCCACGCGCGGAGGTTCTATTTGAATCTCGCTGGAGAGCCCATTCTCTTCATGCGTTTTATCAGCCGCAAAATGAGCATTGTAAACGTCCGTCGCCGTCGCCACCCGCGGTGATCGCGCGAAGAAAGGGATGGTGAAAATTACGGCGCGGTTTCCGCGCACCGTCTGTCTGGCCGGTCGATGCGGGACCCAAAAGAAGGGGGAAGGGGCGCCAGTCAAAACACAAGGCTTACCAGGTCGTCGGGCAGAGCTATCGCGACGAAGGCCTTCACCTGCTCGCGCTCACGACGGTACCACTACTGATAACGCGTCAGTCAAACGGCCGACGCCTCCGAGCGGCCGAACGTCGAGCGCCGACGCCGTCGCCGCCGTCGTTTCCGCCGCCTCCGCCGTCGCTGCCACCGTCGACGCCGACGCCGATATTAGCGAGCTGGAGTAGGGATGATTATCATACATCGATGTTATCTACATGACCGATACAGATCGATTTGCATTTCATACCAGACATTATCTTTTTTTTGCACATATGAATAAATGCATCGAGGCGCAGCATCTGCATTCGCGAGCTCCCACGGGCTATTCAACGGCCAGTGCAACAGCACTATTAATGAACGTGCGTCCTGAAATGAAAAACTGATGTGTATGACTTGTTTTTTAAATCATTCTCTTACCCAGATAGACATACTTCGGCATATCATCTAACTAGCGCAAGCACGCAAAAGAATTTTTTTAGTATATAAAAAAAGTCATCCGATGTCATTGCAGCAACACCGCGGCGACATCTGATTCCATACACATGAAGATTGCTGCTTATTTTCCCCGAAAGAGAATGCGATTAATCTGGAATTATTGTACTAATAAAATGAGTGAATATATTTTGGTTAAAATTATAGCGTAATCAATAGCTATTTCTTAAAACAAGCATATTTCAAATACGTTGCGTTGTTACAGTAGCATCATAAAATAAACAGTAAACGTTTGCACGCTGTGTTTGGATTCTCTGTCTATCTGGGTACGAATGAGTCGGAGAGCGTTACGTTTGGTATCAGCTGAAAGCAGATACCGCGCGCGATGAGTATCTAAAACATTTTTGTCGCGATACAACCGATGAGTTAATACAGAAGTGAATTAGTATGCGAGGATGGGTTAAAGAGGATATATGAACGGATGAACATACAATTATCTCTCGAATATAATGCGTGTAATTTATATATTATAAATCATATATATGTGTATATATATGTATGTATATACACATATATACATATACATATACATATTTTAATAGCAGAACCGATATTCAATGACACAATCGTTAAATATTTAAATTATATAGATCATGTCGTCCCGCGTTATTTTTCATTTTCTTACCCTTTGTCGGGTCGTAGAAGAACAATATGCCAGAAAATGTTGTTTGGCAGTATCAACTCACTGGGTGAGCGAGCGCAGCGCAATTATTTTACAGTATTCATTTAACTAACATTTCTTTCCATTCTCATTTACTAACACTCGCACCAGCGCGCTGTTTTATTCGCCATTACTTAATTATTATTATAAAGTCCTTTACAGGCGAATTGTCTCGAGAATTTATCGTTAATATTTTACATTACTGCGAATCCATTATCCCTCACCACTTCCTCTACCTCCTTCTTTTGTGTACAATTAATTATTTAAGTAATTCAATTGCAACTGTGCAACTTTCGTCGACTGTTCGAAATTATCGTTGAAATATTCGCGACTTTGTTCGCTGCAAAGTCGAATTTTACAATGCGAATCAACGCGTCACTGTCGAGCGAATTAATGTAGAATCAATCACTTTGAATAAGACCTTTCCAGCTGTTACCCTCTTTATTACTTCCAGGTGATTAAATTGCAACTGTGCATTCCTTATCACCGTGAAATGTTACCGCTTTGCGACACTCGCCCAGCAAACAATTTCATTTTATTATTACTTTCATACCAAACATTGCATATTAGATCGCACAAAACCGCATTGATCTAATATTTCGTACCTAATAATTTGCAAATAACATTTCTGGACTTGCAGAAAAATAAATAATTTTTTTATTAATAACAAATAAATAGAGATAACTTTTGTATTTTGTGAATTGCGAATAAAATCGCAGAATAACGAAGCGAAATAGTTTAAAAACAGTTTCCGTATAGAAACGGAAAAGAAAATTTATTCGTCACATATATATATATATATATATATATATATATATATATATTGATATTGCTCCACGAACGAAAAAGATTTTATCATCACTGCTTACGTAAAAATTGCGCGAATTAAAAGTGCTACAAGTATAGCACAAAATCGTAAAAAATCGACTATCGTTTACTGGACGAGCACAAGCGTATACAAAGAAGTTATACATATTTATCCCAAGTGGATGCGCGCAACGAGGACGCGAATCCGTGTATCAGAGATATTGATGGTAAACAATTGTAATAATAATATTAATAATAACAATAATTACAATCTACCATATTTAAATGCGTCAGTGTCTGTCGATAAGGCTATCACTGCTGCGTATGGCAAAATAGTTCTTGAACCACTTGTCCGATATCTTCTATATGAACCCACGACCGATTGATGATGAACCGCGCACACTTCTTAATCACAATGCAATGCGACTTTATGATTTATGAATCCAATGACTCCCCGTAGAATTAGATCGGTCACTCTTTCACTTGCAGCTTGAGATGCTGCAAGAACTCGTAGTAACTAAGTGCTGTTTCGAATCGGTCTTCTATTAATCGCTCGACAAATAATGTTCTGAAATGGCTGTCCTCCCTGAAACATCATCGCCGCGTTATAAAATGCGTCCTGTAATATTGAAAGCAGCAAGAAAAATGAGGATATAATAAGAGAGAATTCGAAGGGGATATGATAAGAAGGTGACATACATTAATCGAATTGTTGTATCAGCGTTGCTAAAATATTTATGATAATTTATATAGTTATTCAATCATTGATTCGTTATTCACTCGACTCAGTGCAAATCAATTCGACATAAAGAAAAACGAATACTCGCTTACCTGATGATTTGTATAGGCACCCAGAACGGTTTCTCTTCTTGCAAACTGAATATAAAATGTCGCAACCGTTCGTTCTCTACTGTGTTCAATTTCGGCAGTTCATACTACAACGGAAATTCAAGATTATTCATTGCATTACTTTATTAGAGAAGAATCTACTTGTGTAAATTTTGGTCCACACAATTCGCGTGTAACCGGCAGAAGTGTTAAATATACTCACTAATTCCTCTGAAATAGATGTAAACGCCGAAACTCCGAATACAGCGGAACAGAACACTGGATTGACGTTCTTGCCGACGTAAATGTAGATCTTGTCGCCAGCGTCCAAGAGGAAAACGCCTCGAGCGTCTAGTCTCTCTGCGGATAGATGAAGTCGCGGCGGTTGAGGACAGATTTTACCTTCGATGTCTTTAGCGTTGCGGTCGTCGAGTGCGTGTACCGGGTACAAATCAGGGTAAACCATTTGCATTAGCTGCGCCAAGGGTAAGGTCTTCAATTGAAACATAGCGAATACACGATCGTCCAAGCGCGTGCTGGTGCCGGACCTAAACGCCACCTGCAAGTTTACGAAAACGGTCGATTACGATAACGAGCGCGTATGTATTGCGCTTCGATTATCGAATCCATCGTTGACTACTTACGCTTTTCAACAACGCGATTATGTATAACGGCAACAACTTTAAGCTTTCCGGCGCTAAAAGTCTGCCGGTACCGCTAGATTGTAGCATTTTGTATGCGGAGAGGACATCGATAGCGACGTTTATTAATGCGTCTCTGGCGTCCGATAAAGATGATTGAAGTGACCGGTCGACAGCTATCCATATAAATATCTATTAATCTAACAATTTTATCGTGATCTCTTCACTATTTACGATCGTTTGGAATTCTCTCCTCTCCTGACTATTTTCCAACTTTATTAAATGGAAGTGTTGGAAGCTCGACTTACCCATTTTCGATAAGAGGCCTACTATACATTGTTGATCCGCGGCATGTAGAATGTCCGATAGATTTTTTACGACTGGCAAGCACAAGGTATGCACTCTGATCCTTCGTTCACCTAGAAAAAAATATAAGATGTTAGAAAAGAAAATATGAAAATGTATGGAGTAACAAAAAATAAGGAGAAAGAGAGAGGAGGAGGGGGGACAATTACCTTTGCTCGAAGTGTAGAGTAGAGCTGCTTGGAAGCACACACTCTGCAAGTCGGAAAGGTTTTCTTCGATAGCGATTTGCATGCCGAAGCCCGCGTCTGGGTTGATGTTTGGCAAAGTGAGAAGATCGGTCGATCGGACGAAAAAGCTGCCGTGGAAGGCCTGAATGCTGAGCCCGCGAGTACAGCGAATCCTCATTACTGCTTCGAAGCCGATCTTTCTGGTCAAATATCGACGGAGCATTCTTTCCAACGTCTCCGCACTCTGTAGCTTCGAAACTCGGAACAACGGCACGTGAAAGATACAGCCACCCGTGAACTTTGACATGCACGCTGTGAAATTCGACACAGATACAAATATATTAAAAACACAATGAAGTGGACAGATACCCTAGTAAAATTCGAATAAAATCTACTAACATTATATTATTTTACGCTGAAAGAGATATTCTCGTGAGTAAATATTTAGTTTTCGTGTAGTCTGTTTTATGATTACTTTATCAAAGTCACATCTGATAAGAGTCGTATAAATGAAATTACATTGTTATTTTATCCAAGTTACGTACGTACCAAATTTTTTCAAATAGATAATAAAAATATTATATATTTCTTATCACTTACATAAAGTTGCCAAGTCGCTGTACTGACTGTTCAATAGGAACAGATCAATCGCAATTTGCTGTCCGCTACAATCCAGAGCGAACCTCTTATAAAAATCTGTCGCTGGATTGAGATGCGGCACGTCTTTGCCCGACCTAGCGTTGGGGTCCTCTCGCGATTGCAAAGTTCCTGGGCCGCAATTAGGCAGACACGTCTGGAAAACAGTGACGCGTCCTCCAGTCGCGAAAAGGAGCTTGTAGGCAGCTTGGAGAGCAGCACCGAGAGCGCAGCTGGTATCGTGAGTACCGTGAAACTTGACGGGCAACTGGGCGAGAAGATCGCGAATGAGCTCTTCTCGCTCCTTCAGATTCACGATCAAGTTCTCGGGACACGGCAGAAACACGTCGTCAATGTCCAACATGATCATTTCGTGTGGCTGCGAGACGTTATCGGGCATGCTAAAGAAGTGTAATGCCGAGTCGACGGCGAGGAAACCAATCTGAGTGCGACTGTCGCCGGGTAGACGTGACAGCTCGTCGGTGATGGTGTTACAAACGATCTGCAAATAGCCGCTTTCTATCGCGAGACGGGATACGTCTACGACGAACAGATAGACTGCGGGCTGAGGTGGACGGAGCTGGAATTCATCGAATTCCTAATTATATCCGTCCGGAATGGGAAAAATTAATTAAAAGAAAAAATAAAAATAAGGGAAACTTAGAATTCCGATTCAAAGAGAATCGGATTGATGTCATTGATTAACGCAAGAAAAGTGGAAAAATAACTACTGACCATGTATTCGCTTGGCGCAATAAACTCTATCGTGCCGTTCTTAGCTTCTGGTCGTCGTGTTGGTTCGCCATACGATTTCGTCACAGGATCATAGTGGAACTCTTCGGGAACTGCAACGACAAGATGCATGTATATTCAAATGCTGCCGTATAAAGCTAAACAATAAACGTACAAGCAGTGAATTTATTACATTCATTTAGCCTGAAACAGAGATTGCACTTCCATCTCTTCATGTCGATGAAAATTACGAAGGGATTGATATATGTTCTGCAAGCTCGACAACGCACGATCGTATTACACTGAATCACTGGTAAATGCTGCTGACAAATGAAAAAATCAAATTAACGAAACTCATTTTTCGTGAGTATTCCGACAGATCAAAAGAATGACAATGTTCTTTTTTATATCTGCATTTTGCACTCACCAAAATATATGTACAAAGTATTTACAACGTTAGATATACTAGCATTGAGGTACATACATTTAAGTCCTTAAATGGATGTATTAGTACGCCAAATGGTAGTCTAGATTTTTGCAGAAGCATATTCGTATCTGGGACTTTCGTCAGCGTACATCTGAATATTCTGTAATCATTCAGTTGTGTATTACACAAACTATATTTAAACTATGTTTACTTTAATAATAACACGAAATTTTTAAACTTTATAAATCTTTCAATTTTGTAAATATACACTGCAATTATTACGTGATAGGAGTATATATAATAGTTCTTTAAATAACAGATATTTTTAAGACACAGAACGGAAAAACTTACTCGGGACTACAATTTGCGGTGTCTAACAATTCCTGTTGTAACTTAATCTTTGGTGGCTCGACTTTTTTAGGCGGCAGTATATTTCTGCCCTGTAAGAGGTCTACCGTTATCGCACCCTGAAGAACAGATTGATTTAATATAATTCTAACATTTATTATAGATTAAATTGTGTATATATATATATATATATATATATATATATATATATATATATATATATATATATATAGTGATCTATGTAATTAAATGAATATAAATACCCATAATTGATCAAAGCCACCCTGTGTTACGTTTAGATTGCTCATCTGATTATTTAACTGATTTAATTGGTCGGGATATACATTAGGATATCTCCTATTTAATGAGTCTAATGGAACATTCGTCATCGGACCGGGATAGTGTAAACGAGTATCATACTAAAAAATTAAAAAGATGAGATTGATTGTGTTTATAAACTATGAGTTGCATTATTTTATATCATGTTATATTCTCAAGTTTTAAAAGCTCACTTGATGTCCTGGAAGCAATCTTGACGACGGTGGTCTCGCGTGCAATTGATTGATTCCTGAAGATGGCATGGTACCCCTTGGAGGTGTCATTGCAGTATTGGCAGTGTCCTGTTGTGGATACTTTCTCTGACCAGCTAAATTTTGATATACATTCAGACCTTGAGAAACACCTCCCAATTCCATGGGGTCCACTTGGCCAGTAAGATGTTGCTGAGGCTGAGTCTGAAGTGGAGGGTGAGGTTGAGGCTGAGGGTGAGATTGAGACTGAGAGTGAGGCTGAGGTTGAAGCTGAAGCTGAGACTGAAGATGAGGATGAAGATGAGGATGAGGATGAGGATGAGATTGAGACTGAGTATGAGACTGAGGTTGAAGTTGGGGCTGAGACTGAGACTGAGGTTGAGACTTCAAAGATTGGGGATAATAATCCTGCGAGTTTCGTACAGCCATGTTGTGAACTTGCTGTGAACTACTGGGGAACAAGCTTTGCGTGTTAGAACTCATTTGCGGTGTCGATGAGGCGCTGAATATACTTTGCTGGCTTCCATAACTGAGTTGAGGACTAATCGAATTTTCCGAAGTAGGCAACTGTGCCTGGACATTCCGAGTCCTTGGTGGTTGCACGCTGGAAGTCTGTGAATCCTGCTGCATATTATTGTCCTGGCTCGAATATTGAGTGACGTTTGGAGAAGGTAGACTAATGTTGGATGGAACTGAAGAGATAGGATGATTCTGATCATACATTGGTGGCTGATTCGCTCTAGGAAAGAGTGCCTGACTGCTTGTCGTTTGATCTGTAGAGACTTGACTAGTCTTTTCGATGCTACTGGGTACACAAGGAACGCCTATAGTGCCTTGCGGAATGTTGGTTGGAGGACTACTGGTCGCCCACTGGTAACTTTGGCTCACTTTAGCAAGTTCCGATTTGATATCCGCAGGTGTCGAAGTTTCCGATTCTGGCGCAAGGTTTCTCGCCAGTGGAGGCATTTGATTTGAAGGAATCATAGGTCTATGATGAGTTTCTTGGTTAGGTTGAGGCACAAAGGCAGTTGAGGATGTGCCAACGTTCTGATGACTGCTAGTGGCATACTGGCCATGTGCGCCGTAAGGGTTAATGGGACTAAATGGCTGCGACGTTCTAGGTGGAGGAGGCAATACATTGGAACTCTGTGATGCAGTTATAGGTGGCATTGGCGGTCGGGACAACTGAGGCCGATACTGGTTTTGAAGATATTGTGTTGGTGACGGATCTCTAGAGGTTTCCCTCGACGGGTCGCGCGAGGATTGTGATGATGGTGTACCTAGAAGCAACAGTTTCAGTCATCACAATTTTTAAAGTGATCTCTCTAGATAAGACTCATCGTTAAAAAATATAAATCCAACAAACATGAAAACATCAAATGATATTTTAATAATGTATTAACGATATGTCTAATGTTATTTGACATCATCCTGCTATTTAGAAAATAAATATTTTAGCTAGTAACATTATTTTTCATATTGTGACAAAATGGGCTCTTACTCTCAACTCTCTTTTACCAATAAAAGTACCTCTAAATAGGTCTAAAAACCAATCAGAAAGCTTATAAACCATATTTAGAAAAAGAGAGTTCAGAATAAGGATCATAATCTTTGAAATATGCCATGTTTAATTGTTTCTTGAGCCATATGTTGTCAAGACCAGAACTTACCAGTTAAATTATAATGAGGGGACTGCATACCATTCTGTTGAGGTGTAGAACTTTGACCATTCACCATAGGCGAGAGATTATTCTTTAGAGTACTATTGGATTCTACATACAGCGGATACTGGTAACCACTTGGCTGTGACATTCTGTCCCTCTAAAAGTCACTAAAATCAAATGTGTCATTAAGGAAATATTACAAGATTTTTCCAAAGATACAAAAAAAGAGACACTTGAAATCAATGAATGATTGTAAGTTGTTAGACTCAAAATCTGTCATTGTCAAGTTTTAGAGCAGATCCAGGATATGTAATAACAACATAGAAAAAATATATATAACGTCTAGTTTCTATTTCAATTTCTCTTGTGCATCAAAGGTTATAAAAAGAGCTCAGGCAGCTCGTTTAAATTCTATTGGAATGTCACAGAGGATGCAGGAGATTGGAAATTGAATAGGTTAGAGCGAGAAGATCAGCCACATCACACGTGTTACGCGTAGATTAGCATTCTCAATAAACGATAAGGAAAGTATAGATTGCAGCAGATTGACGTTTATGAACTTAAAGCGCACTGTCAGCGTGCCGAAAGGTTAAAGTGGCGAAGACGGCTCGGGACACACGGGCACCCGCGAGAATTCGGCTTACCTTGCGATGGGCGCGACACCGAAATTAGGAACGGCCGGATGCAGACCCGCGCATCGCCCCTCGTTGCCGTTTAATTTCTCCCAGCGATCTCACGAATATTATAGCGCACCGATTCGTGAGCAAACGAACAGCACGCACAACATTACGTGGCAGCTCGCGCGACTGCCGCGCCATGGCGTGGCACTTGCCGCCTCCGAGCTAAAGATGCTGGTGCCGCTGATAGTCTTGAAAGATGATGCATCGTCCTTGAAAAGTATCTTTCGAATCTCAACCCGTACTGGCTATTTTCCATATTTTAATCTCGTCTTTTAAATAATGCCTCTCGATTGAACACATATATATATAGATAGAAATATACATATCTAATTATGTAACAGAAATACCAGTTGATTTCTCAAAGTGCACGATGAAAAAATGCGAGGACCAGTACGGATGTCTGGTCCACGGATTCTATCGTGATGTCAGGGAGAGATTCAGTTGACTTTTAAGGTATTTTTGCGTGAAATCCTAATTAACGGTGTAAAAGAACTGATATGGATGGCATGTACACCAATAGAATATGTATTTCTCTGGACAAGTAAAATACACTTTGCAATCTGTATGTCAAGTTGGCGAGGAGTTTTGGTCATTGGGGAGATTCGCACAACTCTTCGGAATGACGGAAAATACATCAATGGGAATGGCAGCGCGAACTCGGTGTTCCCTTCCGAGAAATCACACAAACAGATCATGATTGGTCGGGTTGCTTCTGATCGAAGCTCGCTTCCAGGGCCGCGCAAAGCGCGTTGACGCGCGTCCGCAGTTCCGCAGTGTTCTCGCTTTCGTGCGAGCACAAATTTTTACACGTGCTGGCCAACCCGCAGCTCTTCAGATGTTTCTTCAGTTGGTCTAAAACGAAACAACGTTAGATTGTTTGGACAGTCGAATTATCAGTCGGTCTTGCTCATTGACGTATTTTTCTTGAATAATAAATTACAGAAAAAGATTTTTTTTTTCATAAAAACTGATTTACAATATATCCTTTCTTTATTTTTTCTGGCTAAAGGTTCAAGTCAGAAAGAGATAAAAAGAAAGAAACAGGAATTCATAAAGCTCATTGTAAACCTTGGCTAAAAAGAATCTTAAAAAAAGTAAATTAAAGAATAAAAGTACTAAAAAAAAAAAGATCAAAACAATAAAGATGTCCAGAATTAGATACGTGCCGGGAAACTGATATTTTTATTTTAATTTTTTTAAACAATAAGCTCAAAAATAGAATCGCGTCAGATATTTATGTACCTGATTGCACGACACTGTTCAGTAACGACAGTGCGTTCAGTACGATGTGTATGTCAAGATTATCAGCACGCGTTTCAAAGAATTCGCACATGTTACGGCCGAAACCCGCTGCGATCAGCAGTTCCTCGGATTCTGCCGGACAGATCTTCGTTAATATCGTCAGGCCCAGGATCGCTTCGTTTTGCATCAACGAATGCTGCGCTAGGAGCATGTTTACTAGATGCTGCACTGCGTCGTATTTGATGATCGACAGGGCGATCTGCTTATCCCTGAAAGGTGCGTATGAAATTTCGAGATTGCGTCTTTGACGTAATCGAAAACGAACCTGCTGTTATTTATTAGCCAAGCGATCAATCGATTCGCTTCGCCCTTGACGCCAGGATGGTCCTCGATGCTGCACCACTCAACCGCCCGCTTGATCAAGTCTTCTCTTCGTCCTAAGGACACAGCTGCTTCCCCTAAAAGAAACACACATATTTCTAGATGTCTACTGGTCGTCCTTGGCTCTCTGGATACGATCAGAGGTGCATATTTTCTTATCCAAGATAGGGTGTAAGATAGACTGTAAAATGTACTTGCGTTACAATCGTTAACGTTGTTCATCGCGTGAATCCCGCTGTGTTCGGTTTTCCCATTCAATAAATTCAATAAAACGTAAAAAGAGCAACCCAGAAATAAAAATCACGTTACTCACGCTGAATGACAATAAATGGAGATTGAATTCTTCAGAGAGATTTAGCGGCGCGCTTACTTTGGCCGTCCATGACTATTCTGAGCGTTCCCAGCAATTTGAAGACGACAGGGATAGTGGGGATGTCTAACATAGGATAGAGCACGTCGATCAGGCCGTCCGCGAGTATCAGCGACTTATTGTCCGCGGGTATGACGAGATTGCGCAGAGCGCTCAGCAGGGCGTGCTGGCATCTGATGTCGCCAGACTTGTCGCCGTTCGTCTGGAGAAGCTTCAGCAGCTTCCGATGTATACCTTGTTCGACCATATGTTTACAGTGTGTATCGGTGCGCGCAAAGTTGCCCATAGCCAGAACAGCAGTGATCTGCAAGTCTTCGTCGTCGCTCTCTAACCATTCCACCAGTTTCTTATAGACAAGACCTTTACTGTCGTCGTAGAGGAAGTTCATGCTGTCATCTGAGAAGAGAACGATATGTCCATTAAAGTTCAACGAATTCTAAAGATTTGTTCTCTCAAACTTACCTCCTGTTAAGATCAAAACGATCAAATTGCAGGCGACTTTCAGAATGGACCGCGTCTCTTCGTCGTTGCACCGTGGACCGTGTTTCTCCAACAGTTTCAGTAGCAACTCGCATACTCCTGCTTTGGCCAGCAGCAACTTTGGCTCCTCTGCGAGTGAGAGAGAGAGAGAGAGAGAGAGAGAAAGAGACGTATCATTCTCGTCAATTGTATTATTCTGTAGTGAAGTATTGAAGTATTGAAATTATCATCGACTTGCCATCCTCCGCTTGACCGTGCAACAACTCCAAACACATCTCGGACAGTTCGGAGGAAGTATCGCTGGATAATATGTTGACCAGAATTACAGTTAATCTCTCATCAAGGAATATAATATTCGCGTCATTTAATATGCCGAGAGTGAGTAAGGCGTGCATAGCCGCTTCACCACCATTGACCCCATCCTCTTCTAAAATACTGCAGATAATCGATACCGTGTCTTCTTCGAGTGCCTGATAAAGGACATAAAATTAAAATTATCATCCATCATTGCTTATGATACTGGAACTTTATTGTGGATCAGTAGTCACAGTGCAATACGTTCAAGCAGAATATAGCTTTTTTACCTTTTTGTGCAACGATTCCTGGTCTACTAGAAAATTTAATAAAAATCCAGCAGCCACATTCCGCAGAAAGCTGGCACCTTCAGAATTTTTTAATGCTATACCAACTTTAAGCACCTTCAAGATCACTTTTAAACCATCTTCCTCTCTTACCAGTTTCTTGCCATTCTCTGTCGTCGCAGGAAATAATAATAGCAGTATAGCAGTATAATAATATAAGGTTATGTGAAATAAATTTGTAAATATAACTGTTGTAACTACCATTTTCATAACAAATATTTCCTAGTGCTCTGGAAGTCTGTGTCAATATATCTATATCCTTTTCCTTCAGCAAACTGACCAATGTTCGTACTAATTCCACACTTGTGCATTTCTCTCTTCCTCTCTCAGTTTTTGCTATCTCAGCGATAGCCTTTGCTGTTTTTGCTACAATCTGTTTAGACTTATGTCCCAGTAATGTTAAAAAAACTTCATCAATGAGTAACTCAGTAGTCTCTAAAATTATATATCACTCTTTAGTTATGACTTTAACATAGTATATTATTAAATCATATAATTTGGTAAGGAACCGAGAAAAGTAATAAATATAAGGATAGTCATACAAATTTAGTACAAATGAATATGTATAATACAAGCTTTCCATTGTACCTCCAATTGAAGTTTTGCTAACGTTCACTACGGAATCCAATATCTGTACAATATTGGAATGTTCATTCTCATTCTGCGAGGCCTCAAGATTCACAACATGCTTCAAATCGTCCACAAGTTTATCGATATTATGTTTGGATTCGCCTATTAATATACACAGAAATGAGAAGGAAATTGTTAAACAATCTCTTGAATGTAGACAAAAATGAGTAACAGGGAGTAAATATATTTTGGAGTCTAGTGGATCGCAATAAATAATTACCTTCCATTTCTGCACGAGCAGATCCGCGCCAAAAGTCCGCACAACTCGATTCACCCGAATCGCACTTTCCTCAGATACTGTTTCAACGCGTACCAAAAAAAGTCCGCGGCCCTTCCGACTACTTATGATGCAGGGTGCGTTCGGCGAGCATGCTACCAGCGCTATTTAGCTAACGCGTCATTCTGTCCTTATTATATGTCTAAAGAACGATAAAGATAGAATGACATGTAGCGTTGATAGCGCGTTCCCTAAACGCATCCATGGAATAACTCAGAGGTGAATCTGGGCGCTTTAAAAATGGCGGATGCCGCCGTCGGTTAAATTTCTTCGGACATGATGGCGGAATCAAACGACGCTACGAAAACATCTATTACGGAATCTGCGAAGTATAAGGAGAGAATTTATGGTAAGTGTCATTCAGAAATTATATCGGAAAATATATAAATGCATGTGCGACTTGCTCATGAGCTAACCTCACTTGTGTAAAAATAATATAAATTCTTTACCGTTGGATATGTTATAAACACATAAGAAACGAAACAAGGATGTAATTAGAATTACGTCGAAGATGTAATTAGAAACATTACTCCATGTTGTTTATCCTTCAGCACATAAATCATTATACGGTACTTGAGATAACATAACCAATTAGTTCATAACCTCTGTCTTATTTCTCCCGATTTCGTTCGCTCTATTACGAAATTCGTTTCTACATTCTGTTTTATTGACTTTTATATCTATGTCGCTATAATTATTCATACAATCGCCTAATCTAACCTAACATAACCCCAAAGCTTTTCACTCAGAATACACTGATTACCACATTATATATTAACATTTTATATGAATGAAACAATTGGGAAATATTATTTTAGAATGTTATTACAAACTATGAAGTCAACTTTTCATGATTGTATAAAATTAATATTTGAACTCTTTTATTTGACTAGTTATTGTTCTATCGTTTAAGTATAGATTTTCCGCAACTGCTAATTCATATTCAATTTTGAGATTTGCTACCATGTATTTTTCAACTTTCCATCTTTTATGATCATTAATGATCATGTGATAGATGCTTAATGCTGTTTCAGTAAAACCATTAATATTTTTATAGCTGTGGCATTCCTGAGTGCTGTCACTGGCATTTCTGCCCTTGCTGGTTTTTCCAGAGCAATAGCAGCTGCCAGAAAACAAGATCCAAAATATTTTGGCAAAGGAATTTCCAGTGTTCAAGGACTCCATGAAACTGGAGCCTCACTGGCACTAAGAGCCCTTGCTTGGGGTTCGTTTTATGCCATCACAGGATGTAGCTTACTTTTCTATGGAATCTGGAAGATTTCTGGAGCTACTAATGCAGAAGAATTTAGGTTTAAGATGGGTTCTTTGCTACCAAGTATACCCAAGAATAATCCACCACAAAGCAGGACAGAGTTTGAGGGTTTAAGAGATCTGTTGACTTATGTTTCTGAGGATTGGGGCCAAAGCAAAGAGGTAATTTGATTAATTTTAAAATATTAAGTGTTTTTAAATCACTTTACACTTAGAAGTCTCAAATATCGAAAAAATCAAGAAATTAAAAATTAAATTATTAATATTTAAAATTTTAGTATATATAGTTTCAAGAAATATTCATATAAGAAAAAATTTCAAACTTTTTGGCAAACTATCTGCAACTATTTAATGAGAAATCAGTCGTCAGTTTATATTAGTAATAGTTGTCACTGATAATTAATTTCAATTATCACTGATAATTAATTTCAAATGTCATTCTCAGCGTTTAATTAAAAAGGCTGTCATTTTTTTCTTACAGGAATAAAAGAAGAAATTCGAATGCATATATTTCATCTTATCTCTGACTGCTTGTACTGTTGATATCTGGTAACGTGTGAATAACGTGATTATTCAAGGATCGTATGATCACACATGTGAGTCACATGCAATTTTAGCATGCTAAAAAGTACATTGCATAAACGTTTATAAAGTATAAACGCAAGCAAAATTATAACTCGTATATTTAACTACAAGTTAAGATGTTTGTAAATTATTGATTAAAACTTAAGGAAAATACTTTATATTCATTATATATGTATAATTAATTTTAAGTTGAATCAATAAGTCAAAATTTAATTTTAAATTTTTAGTTTGGTCAATAAATTATATAGAATTATAGCAATGGAGAAATATGACATTTTTTTCTTGCTAGTTCAACAGTTTTATGAAAAAAAGAGACCAGAAGAAAAAAAGACACAAAAAGAAAGGAATCCGATGAATTCTTAAAGATAATATGACGTTAATATCTTAACATCTCTTTTCCAAAAAGAATAAACTCGCAAGTTGTCTGAAAAAGATTAGTCACGTTAAAGAACGTGACATGTTTATTTATGTTAACTGGAATGTGTAAAGTACAAAGGTAATCTTGAAATGACAGATTACATAAGCAATGACGACGTAACGTTAAGTAATCTGCCATACGCGGAAAAGTGCAGAACATATAGTTACCGAACCATTCCCCATACATGCTTACGAACAAAAAAATAACAATTGCTTAATTTTTCCGGGAGATCGTAACTCATCAAAATTCTGAATCACGATTTAGGAACTGGAATAGCACAATATGTACATAATAAATACGCATTTATAAGCAGTTTTTTAACAAACAATATGTACTTCCGCAATAATATTACGGTTATAGTTATATGTGCGTCCAATTTAAAATACAATGTTAGAAAAAAATATCTTACGCATGATTTTGGCAAACTTTTTTAAGTTTTTTTTCAAGATGCCTTGAGCTTTATAATTAAAAAAATTACAAATTAATATCTTGTGATTTTACTGCATTTAAAATTTTTTAAGTAAAACTTCTGTTTTACTTTGCACAAAGCTGATTCATTCTTTGTGAATACATATTATGATTTTTTTGATATTTGAGTTTGCAGTGAGCTAATCAATGATGTAATATTTATACACTGCTCATCAGGTTCAATCTTAAAAGAAATTTGTTCATCCTCATTTATCAAACAATAATCCTGGGAATATTTCTTAACGTATTTGCATTATTTAGGTCGAGATTTTTATTTACGTGTTTGCATTTCCCTACGAACGGCTACCACGTTCAATCCATGAAGGAAAATATTTTCTTTTCAACTTGATAACTTCTCGGAAAGCTCGAAACCTTGAAATTTTATCGCGATATGAAACGCATAAAATTTTGCTTGTTCTATTTTTGAGTTCTATAGTTGAAGAACTGCAGGATATTGTAGGATAATTGAAGGTAAGATCTTGAATATCTGGTATTGTAGGATTTACGATAAGAGATTATTATTTACACATATCCGGTCATAAATTACACTATTCAACATTTTGTCACATGAATTATTTTAGGTGTCTTTTATGCCTTTTATTTTTGAGCGTTGAGTTTGAATATGTATACAGAATTTCTCCATTACCCAATGTTTTATCGCGTCAAAATTTTCGACAAACAAAACTCGACTTCAAACTACCCAAAGAATGTTATTAAATATACAATATAAGTAGGACACTCTGTACACATACAACGTGGAGAACGGTTCTCCCAAGGCGTCTATGGAAAAACGTTGCTAGAGAAAGTGGAGCCCTACTATGTTAGCAAACTACTGCTGGATATTCAAGAGAGACATTCCAAAGGCAAAATACAGACGAAAACAAGAGACTACCATTTTAAATAATGTATTAAAATATAATCTGTTTGTGCGACAGGTTATATATTACCTGCAATATAGTTATTTTAATAATTTCGAAAATTTCGGGTAATGCGAAAAATTTGTATTTTTAAATTCAACATAGAATTTATTACAGGACGAAACTAAAATAAGTCATGTGACAGAAAAGAATTATTTCTTGTTGTCCAGTGTTATTATTAAATAATGTTAATATTTAATTGCAAAAGATACATATAGTAACAAAACCATAATAACAATTGTGCAATAGCCGGTCGTATGTGAGAAACGCGCACGCACGCGCTTCCACATGTATGCTTGTATGTATTACATGCGAAAGCAGCTTTTTATTTGTAGCATGTCACCACATGTAAAAAAATGACAAGGAAAATCATTGTTTTCCTCACAAAAGAACTTTCTATTTAGTATACCCTCCACGCGTAAGTTCATTAATTAATGTCCGACTTGGACACCAATTGGATCCCTAATTAGAATCTAGTACCCTACGACCTAAGGATCCTTGAAACTTCGACTCTAGGATCGACGGACCGTAGGATCTAGAAATCCTGTGAATAATGACTTCTAAGTCCTATAAAATCGAAAATTTAGGAATCCATTTACCTCTTTGCGAATCCTATAAATAAGATGTACGAAATACATATCTTAGGATTTACGGACTCTTTGTAGAATCTGTGCTCCCACGAGTCCTACCTTACGAATCTTAGGATATACGGATCCTGAGAGATACCGCACCCAGGATCTAATATCTAGGGTAATACGGCTTCTATCAAAAACTTAATATTAATAAAGTAATAAATTAAATAATAAGTTAATAAATTACAAAAATTTTTATAATTGTTGTTCCAAGAACACGATTTCTAGAATCTATCTAGGACTTAAGTCCTCATAGTTCTATAGCTTCTGGAATAGAAGATTAAACATAGATCCTATATATACGGAATCTTATATGTACCAACTCTAGAATTAACCTAAGTCTTAGGATGTAAGATTTATCTACAGATCCTAAGAATTCACAAATGTCCTATATATAGACTTTAGGCTTTATATATATATTTTAAGATCTCGGCGTCCTAATGAGAACATAATACAGTTTGATATCGCAGAATTCAGATTTTAGAAGAATCGCGCAGATCTTAGAAGCCGTTAAACCCTAGCGTCTCTTTGAACAAATAGATCCTGAATGCATGGCTACGTCGACCAGCGGCGTGACAAACAAACACAGAAAGAGAAAGAAGAAGGGAGGAAGAGAGGAAGAAACAGAGGGGAAAGAGATAGAGAAAAGAGCGCCCAGGCGCCCTGATGTGCCAGATACCGCCTTTAGTTGGCCTTGAGCTTGTCGTTGTAGTCGATGTGACTGGGTGCGTCGTTGGCGAAGTGCTTCTTTTCGACTTTCTTATCGGCCAGGTACGTCTTGTGGAAGAATCGCGCGAACAGGACGAAATAGCTGAAGTACATCGCGAAACTAAAGTGGATGTTCCTGCGGGTAATGTGACAGTCCACATGTCCGCTCTCCAGGTATTGGTAGGCAGACATATTAATGGCGCAGCCTATCACCATCTGAATGAGCTGCAACGTAGTGATCACCATGGCGATCGCCTTCGGTGGTCTGTATCGCATCGCTTTAAGGGCATAGTAGGTGTACATGATGGAGTGAACGCAGTAGTTCATCACGACGTACCATCGCGCGGACGCGGTGTACTCCGAGTACGAAAACCATGCGTACAGCAACACGGTGATGTGGTGGTACCAGTGCAGGAAAATCAGCGGCTGTTTGCGCAACACGATGAAGATCGTGTCGCCGAGCTCGGGCAGCTTCGACAGCACGAACAACCACGTCCAGAATCCCGACACGCAGTTCTGTTCGATGAAGCTGCAATCGATTTACTCAAATAAACTTAATGAATAAATGCGATGAAAATGCGTTAAAAGATGATGCAATGAATCGATAAGTCTAATTAAACAAAATAACAAGAACTTGACAAGTTGTTCAGACAATATGATTAAGTTTACGGAAAGTGTTACGTTATACAAGTGTAAGAACAATTTTTCTTATTCAGATAAGAAAAAAAATGAATCATGAGACGTCAAGAGTTGGATAACAATTTCGTTTACTGTAAAAATTGTGTAGCATTACGTAACAGCTGATTGCAATTTCATATAACGGTGTAACGACATTCGCTGAACTTTTTGATGCTAGTTTGATTGCTAATTTATGCATTCGATATAAATTTTGATATTTTTTTTTCAATCGATATACTTTTTGTTATTTAAATTAAAAGTAAGTCTATCGGAAAGTCAACAGGTCAAAATACATTTCGAGATGCGCGTAGATATTCACAAGATTTGTATCTGAAGTGATGTAGCTATTTGCGTGTTTGTATCAACGGGATTGTTAGAATAACAACTGACATACCAAGTCATTGTCATGCAACAGTCTGACTTTTTTCACGCATGAGCGTGAAAATATATTTGAAGACTTTGAAGACTTCGAATACGCGGTTGGAGCAAATCACAAAATTTAATATTAAGATAAAGTAAATAGTGTTTTCGCGTATTAAGATAAAGTAAATAGTGTTTTCACATGACATACGTATCGAAACGCGTTAAATGGGGGAAATGATCTGTCGTACCATTACACGTAATTTCTACCTGTCCATTTTTCTACGGTAAGACGTAAGTTCTAAGTATAGTTAATGGATATTCCTTATGCTAAATTAAATTCACAATGACTAGTTAGGTGCTTCAGTAATAACTCAAGAACACCTTCAATGTACGTCGGACATTTCCAAACGTGAAAAACTTAAAGACACAAGCGAAACAAACCAACGACCGACCTCGTATTACAAATGCTGTGGTGTAGACCGTGATATTTCAGAGCGTGGATTAATTCAGGCGCAGTCCTGGTGAAGCCGATAATAGAAAAGGCAGCCAATAGCGTGTTCCAAAGACACAATATTCCTCTCAGTTCGAATCTGGGCCTGCTGGCCATGTAGTGTTGCCCTCCGAATATCAGGATCATGTACAGTCCACAATAATAAAAGCAATTCGTCCAATTGTTCACCATCCATACTTTGGTCTCGTAGTGACTGAACGTCTCCTCGAAGTTGAAGATATAAGAATAATTTGGGAGGGTCACTTCCATATAATCTACCTTATTCATCTTCGATGCGTTTCGAGTCGATGTCTCCGACGATCCTGCAACAAACATTAATCAAGGAGCATTAAATAAGGAGTTGGTCCATCGCTTTGCGCTATGGAAATGAAAAATCATAATGCGAAAATCTGTTTGCGTCCTGTATCGAGAAATTTCCTCTCTCTAGACTGAGAGAAAGTGATTGATCGAGCTAAAATTGTGATTATTTTTGGCGCCAATCATATTCTTTAGTTGCGCTAACATGAAAATGTTAGCAGTAACATGTATATAAAATTGTTATCGCTAACATTATAGTGGAATTTAATATAAAAAAATTGTTCTCTTGATTATAATTATAATAATTATTTCTTTAGATTATAGTTGCGAATACCAAATATTTATTCTCAATGTATTTCTAATTAGAAAACGTGCATAAAAGCAAATATTTTCTTTAAACGAAACTAGCTTCTACATGTATGTATCAGTTGTAAAAAAAATCAATTTAAGAGTCAAAATCGCAGAGCGATTTTTTCATTGGACGCGCATATTAAATTAAATAGTGTTAAATATTGAAAAAATATGAATTGGATGCGATAAGTTTGAAGATTTTATTGACTAGAAATTCAAATTTTTATCCGCCGACGGAAATCGTAAAAATAATAATATAATAATAATAATATAATATAATATAATAATATAATATAATAATATAATATAATATAATAATAAATATCGGCACAACATGTACGACGTTTTTTGTGGATTTACATCGGTGATCAGCACGTGTGTTCGACCGGTTTTTTCTTTTTAGAGTATGCGCAACCTGTGGCGCGGCTGCGCAGTAGCAGACGCGTGAGTGGCAAATACGCCAATCCGAGTTCGATGTTTGAACTCACGCGATGTATCGCTTGATGCACTGCCAAATGGAAGTCGCCGGTGCGACATAAAAAAAATACGCAGGATGAAGTCAGAAAATCGTTCTTTGCAAGCATGATCTTGCGAAGGAATGGAGAAACCATGGGAAAAAGTTAAAGAAATCCTATGGTGAAATGAGATATCTAAAAGATCATATTGGAGAACTCAAGTCGGCTAGAGTTTTATTATTTAATATAGTGAGTAGGTTTTAGCCACTGATACAACTAACACAGATGATTAGATATTGCAATACATTTTTTTCACATACATTCACATTTTTCACATACATTTTGCAATACAATCACGATTTTTTCTCGAAGAATTTCCTGACAATTACTGAATAATGGAAAGCTACTAGAAATTTATGTTTACACACTTCTGAGTCTCGAATATTGCACACGAGACGATTTTGTAAGGGGAATAAAGTGTTACGCGAAACAAATTGAAAATCAAAATGTGTAATGCAAACTGAGTTCTTTATCTTCAGCTCCAATCATTTAAATACATACAAGGAAGTAGAAAAAAATATGCAGCGCAGTATGTTACCATGTTACATAGTAATGTAAATTCAGCCGTAAAAATACACACATATTCAACCGTATGTACCAGAAGTGTTTCTTGTACAAAAAAATTTGTTTGGTTACGTAAGATGCTCACGTATCACGGCGAACAGAAAATATGCAGTCACGCAATTTTTATCTGAGACATTTATTTTTATCTATCAGTTATCAACTCTACGCGTAAAAAAAACTGTCAAAGAAAAAACTTGAAAATTTATTGGTGTAATGTCCCACAAAATAAATTTTCAATGTTTTTCAATGTATAATATTGTATCTGTGAGATCCGAACGAATATTTAATCGCTTGCCAACTTTTAAAGAATTTGGGAATATTTCGAGACAGCGCAAATCTGTTTGCAGATTTTGATTTTATTGCGCTAATATCTTATAAGTTTTTCTATAAAGAAAATATGTCCAAAAATATTGATTTTCGACAAAGTTATATAGCTTTTCGAAATTGGTAGGGATCTGGTAGATCCTGATTGTACTATATATATATGTCCCACAAAATATAATTGTACGCGGGAAATTAAAGATATTCACATAAAAGCCGAGTTTTTTTAACGGAATATTTTACTTCCTAACTTTGTGCGATTAAGATGTTACAAAAAAATATATTTGCTAGTTTGATTTAGGCTTATATGTACAAAGTGCATCACACACGGCAGGAGACATTATTGCGAGACTTGATTTATATTTATGTTATATCGGAAAATGACATCAAAATTACGGCGGCTATTTTCATTGCGGCATTGAAAATGGACGAACAGGAAAACGATAGTCGCGTGATAGTGAATTACTCTGAATATCGCTTGATATGCCAATGGTGAAGCAAAAGATATATGAAATCATCGAGAAGTCGTCGGATATTAGACTCATGAAGTTTCAGATAAAGATCCCACGCCTCGTAAACGTAATTAGACATTCAAACTTTCACTAGGAAAGATCGTCGGAAAGCGTTGTTACTTAAAGTAAAAATACTTAATGTCCAGATATGTATTTAATACTGGATATTGTTGGTGTTTTGATCTTTAAATACGAATATTTAAACTTCCAATATTAAAAAAAAATTTATGTATACATATATTGAATATAGTATACATATATTTTACGTTAAAAATTAAAATTATAAATATTATATTATTTTATTAATTATTAAATATTGTTATATGTTATAATTTTATAATATATAATATTATTATATATTATAAATATTAAATATTTAAAGACCAAAACAATAAGAATGTTGTTAAAACTTCTAATTTTCAAAGTAGTTTGGAACACAGCCAATGACCTAATATGAAAATATAACTTCTGAGAATTAATCAAACACGAGTTCTCTCATTGAACCATCGGCTACATTTCAAAATATATTAAAAAAAAAATATTTAAACCATTCTGAAAACAATATGTTAAAAAATCAGTATTTAAATTTGCACATGAATACACTAAGAAAAAAACATTTGAAAATTTATATATGTGATAACAAAGTTTATTTCTGTGAAATAAAGTATATTTCTGTGAAATAAAGTATATTTCTGTGAAATAAAATTTGTTTTTACAAAATAAACTTTTGTCCTCTAAATAAATTTTCAAGTATTTTTGTCTCAATACAGTAAATAAATGTAAGTTCAACTCGGAAATGCAGGTCAAAACTTCCATGCATAAACTACACTTATATTTGTAACTCTTGGAAATACAGGTCAAATGTACTTGCATGCATAAACTAAATTTGTTTGTTAACTCCGCGCATAAGCTAACATGAAGGATAAAAACATATTTTGTTATAAATTAAAAAATAAAAACATACATGTACACTGTAGCATTGTTATACACAAGTTATATATATATATATATATATATATATATATATATCAGATGTTTAAAAAAATATATATAAAGACGAAATTGCAATATAACTACAACATCGAAGCAACTTTCACATTATATAGCATGTAATACTGAAATTTATAACTATTATATACATATAATAAACACATAACTGTGATCGATTGAGATATCTTTGTTACTGTGACCGAAAACATTTGTCTGACCATTCCGCTGCATCAAAACTCGGTTGTAGTAACTAAGAGTAAACTAAAAGTAATCAGCTGAGTAGAAATCTCTTGCTAGAAATCTTATTCCTATAATCAAGTTTTTTATCTGGTTCCCCGATAACAAGATATTCAGTTATATTAATGGGGTTGTTTTTTCCCTATCAATGCGAAATGCTGTCTCAAAACGGACTGTTATTTCCTGACAACGTAAATCGGATTTGTGGACTTATTACGTTCGCGTTTCACACTAAATAATATTAATGTGCTCAGAAAATTCTGAAAAAAATTCATGGAAGTTTTTTGAAGTGTAAACTAAATGTTTAAACCATTGAATTAGGTAATAGTTTAATTAGTTAGCTGTGTATGACAAATATACTCGTCATGAAGAAATGGCAATTTTTAGCGTTGTGACGAGTATACTCATCATGCAACACAATTTAGGTACACACTTTTAAAAGAAGGCAACACAACTGGTTAATTTGTCTTTTATTGCTTTTTGGGGGCAGAAGTCATTTGTTCATATCGTATATCTAAAAAATTTAAATTTTTCGAAATTTGACTTGTAAAAAAAATGCTTCGGAAATTCTTTAATAAAGCCTATAGCTGAAAAAAAGTTATGCAATAATTGTTATTAAAAAAAAATCATTAGAGTGTACGAAAATAGGGTATATTATGGGAGAAGTAAACATTAAAATTATAAAAAAATTCACATATTTTTTGTATTTGTGGAATATATATATATCATAATACAATCTAATATATGTAAAATATAAACACTTATAAGCATTGAAAGCACAAGGAGAAAACATTTCATATTTGATATGAGTTTGAAAATAATATTCCATAAGCGATTTACGCAAAAAAATTTTTTGTGAAAATAACAGCTTCAACCACATTCAAACTTTCAAAATATGTTTATTTTTATTAGAAAAATACTTACAAAAAACACGTTCTTAAAATTCAACCTTTCAACGAAAGTCAAGCTTATTAGTCGTTCGTGCCTGTCGCCGAAGTCAATAGCTCAGTAGATGGTAGTAAAGTAGCAACGATGTCCCTGAGCTTCTGATTTTATAAGCGTCTCATTAAAAATTTGTTTTCACACTGGAGGAAGGAGAGGGGAGAGATTATTCATCACAAAGTGTGCAATTTTCGAGAAATCTCACGTAGTTGAAATCACTTGGACACATTTGACTCATGAATTCGTTTTGATGGTTAAACTTGCTGTATCCGCGATAAATTCGTTAAACGAATGTTTTTCGTTAAACGAGTTTATAGTATGCTTCTGGGCTTTGTTAGATGGCATGCAGATTTGGATACTTCATTGATGTGGTGCGTAAGTTTGAAATTATTTTTAGTGTGTTAAATTAAGAATAGAGAATCAAATATGAGAAATTATGTAGAAATAAGTACGTATATGTATAGTGTAGGTGAAACAATGCGTTAGATAGAAAAACAGTAATCGGAACAGAAAAATACATATAGCGTTATAAGGAACGTGGGTAGATGGAATAATATAGATAATGCATGCAAGTTTAAATATGCAGAGGAAATGGAGAGGGCATTATCGATAGAGAAAATATAACGCTGAAAATTGGATGTCATTTTAATCTTAACAATGGAATATTTTGAAAACGAAACAAATGACAAAAAAATTGTTCAGACAAAAATCATATGGTTTAGAGGAGGACGTAAAATGGTGGCATTGCTTTGACATGGAATAGTTGTTTGAAGGTCACGTGACGGTCATCTTCAATTTCTTAAATGGAAATCCCCATTTTTTATTGCATTTTTAGATTAAACTAATCCAAATGAACATCTCTCATATCTTGATGATTTCTTGTAAAATCAATAGTTTCCGAGATATTTGGGTCAGAAGAACGAAAAATCGTATAATCGATTCCTGACTGTGTAAACCGCTCTTGGAGCTATCCAGGATCACTCACAGAAATCAAGCACCCAAACGTGAGAGGCAAGGAGACTCACGAAAATCAAGCACCCCAAACGTGAGACACAAGGGGACTCACGGGAATCAAGGACCCCGAAGAGATTAGATTACCGCCATATCCATGTCGTTGATCTTGGATAGCTCCAAGAGCGGTTTACACAGTCAGAAATCGATTGTATCATTTTTCATTCTTCTGACCCAAATATCTCCGAAACTTGATTTTACAAAAAATCATCAAGATACGAGAGATGTTTATTTGGATTAGCTCAATCTAAAAATGCAATAAAAAATGGAAATTTCCATTTAAGAAATTGAAGATGACCATCACGATGACCATCAAACGACTACTCAATGTCAAAGCAATGTCACCGTTTTACGTTCTTCATATGATTTTTTTCTGAACAATTTTTTTGTCACTTGTTTCGTTTTCAAGATATTCCACTGTTAAGATTAAAATGACTCACCCTATATAATAAGTAGTAATAGAAGACAGAAATACACAAGGGATGGGGAAGAAGAGAATACAAGAAATGAAGAAGAAAGATTTGGTCATTGGATAGAATAAAGAAGAAGAATGAGACAAGACCTTGCTGCGCAAGTAAGAAGGATGAAATGTAAAGAGGAAGATATGGGATATGGAAAACTTTTTAACGAGGTGAGCTAAAGAAGATATATAGAAAATTAAAAAAAAGACAGTCACTTTATGGAGTTAGTAGAAAGTATAGAGTGGAGTAATGAAATTATCGAGATGTACATGAATTGTAAACTAAGCTTTTTTCCTGATTATAAGCTGAAAGAAAATATACTCTCCAATGTTCTCCAATGCTCTAGTAAACCTATAAAAATTTCTATTTTGCATATGTAGCAAGGAAACTCGAAAACACAGGTTAAAAGTTGTAAGGTGAAAATTTGCAATTTACACTTATGCTTATTAGATTTATACGCAGAAACGTATATGGTACATATACGGAAAAAAATTTTAATTTATGCAACTGTCACCTAGAACCAAACAAAAAACTCGTCGAGAAATAAATTTGATCGACACATTTAATTGTTGCATTTAAAACTTGAAAAAAACAAGTTTTGTTAGAAATAAAAAAGTAAAAACATACATATATACATCTTAATTATATATTAATTATGTGTGTACATTATCTTATTCGATTTTCAACAGACTAGATTGTTTTTTTGTAGCTTATAAAAATAATAATATAACATGTAACATCCATAAAGCCATATATTTAACAAGTATATACATATAATTTTATTTTTGAGAAAGAATGAAATTATAACTACAATATTGTAATAACTTTCACGTTATATAATATGTGATATTGAAATTTATAAGTATTATATAGTGAATATATAATTGTGTCAATTAGGATATCTCTGTTATTGTGACGTACATGTGTCTGAACACTGAACTGCATTAAAACTCGGTAGAAGTAACTGACAGCAAACTGAGAATAATTGGCTGAGTAGAAACCTTCTACAGAAATTTTCCTGTTCTTACAATTGAATTTCTTATCTAGTTCCCAGATAACAGAATATTTAGTTACACCACTTGCTTTTTGGTGTATTTGTGCAAAATATTGTTTTTAATTACAAAAAAAGTCTCTCATTACGTTTTTAATATTTTCCAGAACGGAATTGTAAAATTTATTTTTTTTATGCTATATATAATAATGTTTATACGGTGTATCGAATCTTTTACGCAAAGTAGACAATTATATATTCTTAATAAGTATTATATCTCAAAATGATGAGACGTTATTTTTTGTTTTGTGACGAGACTTTTTCACGAATGTAATTATTTACTTTCTTGTCATTTTTTTGTAAAAACTTTTTTTCTTTAGTTCCGTTAGGCCTGGTCTACAATAGATGTTGTAAGCCATAAGCCATAAGAAATGGCCAATCATAACCACTTATTTTTAAAACAATCGACTATAATTTTTACGACTTTCAGCTTACAACATTGGTCACTAGACTTTAGTCACATGACTTTGTAAATCTTGATGTTAACAATGTTTTATGCATAGGCTATTGTTTTTTTCCGTTTAATAAATTCTGTAGAATGATTAATATTTCCACACATATCCATTAATTTGTCGACTTTTTGCCTTATTGAACTATGTGATATACTTTGCTTTAAGTTTAGTGAAGTTCAGAGGTTTTACTGTGAAAACGTCTTTATGAGACATAAAAATTATAAGAGAAAAAAAGACAGAAAAGGATTTAACGTTAACATGGATATAATATTGATTACATAACATACTATTTTTATTATTAAAATAAAATATTATTTAGATAAGAAATCTTAAAGGATATGGAAAAAAAATTAAGTGAGCAATTAGCAAATAAAAGTTTACATTTTTCGGACGAGAAACATAAATTCTTAAGTCTGATCTACAATATCTTCTTTGCATTCTGTTTCATGTCTTCTATCTTTTTCTGGCTTAAAGCTTAAGATTTAAGTCAGAAAGAGATAAAGAGAAAGAAGCAGGAAGCAAAGAATACTGTAAATCTGTATATTGTGGAACAGGCTTCAAGCTTGATTTATAACGTGTTACTTACTTCCTGTTACTTTTTCTTTATCTCTTTCTGAATCAAGCCTTAAGGCGATGCTGCTAGGCTTGTTTTCGTAGAATACTCTTTTCTTCTAATTGCATGCATAAAACTGCAAATGCTTTTACAGCGTGAAAGTATAAGCGATAATGAATGCCGCATACTAAAAAGTTGCATCGAAATCAACAAAAAGAAAATAGCGGCATTATGTCAGCGCCTATTTGACGATTGCCTCTACGTTATCGACGCTTAACGAGTTCGTCATTCAATTCAGCATCCCCTTAAACCTTAAAGCCTGATTTACAATATGCTCTTTGCATTCTGTTTCTTGTCTTCTGCTTTTTTCTGGCTTAAAGCTTAAGGTTTGAATCAGAAAGAGATAAAGAGAAAGAAGCAGGAAGCAAAGAGCATATTGTAGATCAGGCTTAAACTAAAAAAAGACAGAAAACAAAAAACAGGAAGCAAAAACCACATTATAGATCAGGCTTTACTCACAGACACTATTTAAATCAACTATTTTTGCGCGGTTGACGCGCAAAAAATATTTGATTTCTGCAAAACAAAATATTTTACACACGAAATATTTAACATTATTAAAGACGTTCTAGTGCAGTTTAACGTATTAAAGAAGTTCTAGTGCAGTTTACACGTCTTTATAGAATATCTTACCACTTTGAAGGTTACGGAGTTAAAACTTATGTTTATCGCTTCCTACTTGTAATAATATTACCAAACAGATCTTTGCCAGTCATGTGAGTCATTTCCATCTGTTGGTGATTAAATTTCTATAGATACTTTTTAGATGAAATGCGTTACACGTGCGCGGTATAAAATGTTGACGTGCAAAAGTTGTTGACCGCGCAAAAATAGTTGATTTAAATAGTGTCTGTGAGTAAAGCCTGATCTATAATGTGGTTTTTGCTTCCTGTTTTTTGTTTTCTGTCTTTTTTTAGTTTAAGCCTGATCTACAATATGCTCTTTGCTTCCTGCTTCTTTCTCTTTATCTCTTTCTGATTCAAACCTTAAGCTTTAAGCCAGAAAAAAGCAGAAGACAAGAAACAGAATGCAAAGAGCATATTGTAAATCAGGCTTTAAGGTTTAAGGGGATGCTGAATTGAATGACGAACTCGTTAAGCGTCGATAACAAATGTTGACGTCGAGGACAAAAACACAGATTTCCGACAGTCTTGACATAAATATTTCTTACCGATTATTCATACACTCGTACGTTGTATCTCGAACTAGTGAATTTCATACAAGTTTTCTATTCAAAGATGTTATCTTATTTACGATAACGTTACCTAATCAAGTGAGACATGCGGAACGGTTTCAACATTCTTGAAAATTTATTGCGGACAACACTAATAATATAAGTGAGAATTAGCAGGATCTTCATGTAGTAAGAAAGAAGAAGCAAGAGAGAGGGGAGGAGAGAGAGAGAGAGAGAGAGAGAGAGAGCTAATAATATAAGTGAGAATTAGCAGGATCTTCATATAGTAAGAAAGAAGAAGCAAGAGGGGGAAAAGAGAGAGAGAGAGAGAGAGAGAGAGAGAGAGCAATTAAAATAATTAAAGACAGGTTAATGACCAGTTTTACACGTATGCAGCCGTCTTATATTTAGGTCGAGCCGTTCGATGTGCTTTCTGAATGATTTTCGATTTACACACGCGCGCATACAAGCGTGTACGAGGTGGCGGCTGATTGGTTTCATTCACGCACACATGGACGCGTACGTGAGGCATGCAATCGCGAAGTAAGTAGGTATAGGCGTACGTTACCTGCGTTTAGTGCTGCACCTTTCGCACAATTTCCGGAACGGCTCAGGCGCGTGTTGTGAGATCACCGACTTTACCGTCGTCGTCGTCGTTGCCCGGCTCGAGGCTCCGAAAGAACGGAGCTGTCAAACCACAGCGGGGAGTGTTGGTCGTGACGCGAGCCGGCGTATTTGACGTGGGCAAGGCCACTTCCTATTGGAGCGCGAACCACCGGGCGTCCGGTAACACCGGCGCCTTCTGATACACGAAGTGTAATCGATAGATAAACAAATGCAAAAGAGAGAGACGGAAGGTACTCTTGTCGTCGTCGTCGTCGTCGTCGCGTGATTCACAATCGGTCGATCTCTCAATTTCTCTCTCACGCTCTCTCTCGCTCTCTCCCTCTTACTCTCGCTCGCTCACTCTCTTTCTCTCTCTCTCTCTCTCTCGCTCTCTCTCTTTCTCTCCTTTTTCTCTAGATATCTTTCCGTCGAGGTTGTATGCTAATTAATTTCTCTTTTTCCTTGCGCGACTTTTGTTCGCGAGTGATCGTCCCTCTTTTTTTCTCTCACTCTCCGTCTTTTTGTGTACAAAACGCGCCACCGTGGACTACCATCTAAATCAAACTGCCACATTCACACTCACCGTAAAACAAGCCGAGCGATACTGCCGCTCATTATTTTATACACCGTTCTCATCCCCTTTCCTTCCACACCCGTACCACTGCTGACATCTGTCTCCGTGTTCCACGCCCTGCTACCTTCCCGCCTAGCATGTTGTCCCTAGCCCCAGATTGTTCCAATATTCATTGCCAGTACTGAAAATCTATAGTTCATGTTAAGGTTTATGATGGTCGTAATCTGTTAACTTATGCCGTAAAAAATTGACCAATCACAGTCGTCTATTTTGTACGGTTCCGGCATAAATTAACGGATTACGGCCATCATAAATCGGCCTTTAGGGCCTTTAGGGCATGTAGAAAAATTTTAACCGTAACCATAAGGTCGTAAGAAAACTGACGAATCACAGTCGATTATTCCTCGAACGCAAGTAGAATAATCAACTCTGATTGGTCAGTTTTCTTACGATCTTACGATTAAAATTTTTCTACGTGCAATAGCCTTTACTCATACTATAGATTTTCAGTGCTTGAAGTAAATATCGGAACGCAGTTTGAAATAAAAAAACACAGCTTTCTAATAGAGAATTGAATTCTCTATTAGAAAGCTGCTCTCTTATTAGATATGGGACGTCGTACGTCGGACATCAGACGCAGTGCGAATCCTCCGTTAGGATCAATCATGTATTTTTTTCTCTGATATGAACTCATACAAAGTGAAGAACATAACCTTAAAAATATACGAAAATGTTTACTTTTCACGACAGTTTATATCTGAGAAAAAGATTTATGATTGCTTCTAAATATTACGACATTATTTTATATGGTTTCATACTAAAGAAAAAAATTAATTTTTGAGGCTACGTCCCCATGGAGAAAGAAATAGCGAAACGGAACAAATATAAAGCCAATCAAGCATTCTAAAACGTCCTTTTTGAGGAAAATCTTATTCAATATCTTATAGTTCATGTTACATATACTATAGAGTATTGAGTTTCTACTAAAAAAAGACGTTTTGTAATGCAACCCAGATAAATTTCAAATTATTCTGAATTACTCTAGTTGGCTGCGTTTAGCAGCGAAAGCTGCTTTGCAACTGTTGTAAAATTCGTGAGTCTGATTGGTACATGTTTTTGGATTTAACCAAAATTAAGAGCATATTCCAATCAGATTCACGAATTTTACAACAGTTGCAAAGCAGCTTTCTCTGCTGAACACAACCAATGACTCCCTGTTCCTTTATTATTCCGTTTCGCTATTTTTTTTCTCCATGAGGATGCAGCTTTATAAGTAAGGTCAAGTTTACATGAAAAGATTCATGATTAATGCCCTACTCTTGACCTTCGAGATAGCGGGACTTTTAACTTGATATTAAACTGGATATATACTGAACGAACAAAAAGTTGAACAAACATTGAAACTTTCGTTTGCATTCGTTGTAAACGAAATGCAAAATACTTATGTTTTACGGTAAAAAAGAAAGTGTATGCTTTACTCAATACCTATAGTTCACGTTACCACAGAGTATTGAGTAAAATCCTCACAAAAGATGTTGTGAAATGCAACCTAAATACAGCTTCTAACGGCACTAAATTTTTTTAAAATAACAACAATATCGTAATCTTGCTCCACAAGTATAAATGTAGCAGGCAAGAAAATAGTAATAATATCTCAAATATTTTTTAACAAAACTTGCAATGAAATTTCTCTAACGTAAGCCATAAAATTACATATGTAAAAGTGATATATAACATTTCATTAATATTTCCATGAATAATTAATAATTGCAACATACGAATATATAAACAATGAACTACTCTGAGCTGGTTATTATGTCGTTCATCATTTTATTGCATATCTATCTTGATATTTGTCCAGATAGCACAAAATCTTTAGAGAATATTTTAGGATGTTTTTAGGATGTATGAATGTCCTTCCCAGATAGCCAAACCTGCGCGAACAGATTTCGAGCAGAGCTTGCTATCAACTTTTGATGGCAAATAGATAACAAATTTGATGCAGGATCTGTTATATCAAATCTTGCTAGCCAGATATGCGGCAGAGCTTGTTGTCGGATAATTGCTGCAGATTTACAGCAAAAACCGCGCAGAGCTTGTAGCGATTTGACGGCAGATTGGCGGCATTGCTGCATTGCAAGCTTTGCGCAGTTTTTGCTGCAAATTTGGCACCAATTGCCCGACAGCAAGATCTGTCGCCAAAACCGTAGCCTAATGTAGACACAGATGACTATGGTTTTGCTGTGGGTTTTTGATCAAATTTGCTGCCAATCTGCGTGCAGTCTGTGCTCATTTTGCTTACTGGGTTAGAACATCTTTAGAATGTCTTTTGAAGATTTGTGCTATATGGGTGTTTATAGGCACTTATTCTTTAGATATTCTTTTCATCTAGTACATCTTTTCTCTCAGAAATATCTCATATACGATAACTATTTACGATAATTTCTCGTCCATTATTTACATTCATTATTTACATCTTCGGTGTTTTTACATGATATATACACGTTTTTTTTTTCATATATATGATTTAAACTATGTATGTGAAATGTGACAGATTAGTAAGTTTAATTCTGAAAGTAAGAATGTAACCAACAAATTCTTTGGATTCTGACTTATTTAAAAAACATTTCCAGATTTATCAGGATTAAAAGTTAAATAAAAATATAAATTTTACTTAATTAATTTTGTAAAGCAAGCTATTTTATATGTATATATTTTTTAAACTGTATCCATAGATAATTAATTATACACGACGTCTCACGCATAATTTACGTTCTAGACGTGGACGTAGTGTAGTAATTTACATGTAAATATCCAACCGTATCTTTTTGCTCACATTCTAACGCTTCTCAATTGAAATGAGTTTTTTTTTGTGTTTGTTGTGTAAGGCTCGTTTACGCTAACCAAGTGGTAAGCTAACTATCACATGTTTATTAAAACATTTTTATTAAAACATGTGTCTGTTTATTTTGAAGGAAAACAGACGTATTAAATGCCAACCCGAAAGCCGGAAATCGAATATATTAAATACTTGGACTTTATATATTATTGTCCAGATTTATTTTTTATTTCTCTTTGCTTTTTCTTTAATATTTCTTTATGTGTAATTTTTATATATAAATTATATATTAATATAACATAGAAACTTTTATTTTACATTATATGCATTGTCTTTACACTTGTTTTAATACATTTATTTTTTAACTTCAAGTAGTTTTATTGATTTTTAGTAAGGCATGTTTAATATGCCGTACTGTTGAGAACATAACAATGAAATTTGGCAGGCTAAGATAGATCTATGAAGATCTATAATGTTGATTCTTTTTAAGATAATATTATTGATATTTTTATAGGCAAAGATAAAAAGAGGTGTAAGCAGTTCAAACACAAGAGCTCTGAGAGACCAATAATCGGCACTTTGAGCCTTTTTGAAAATCGCTTTTAACATCGCATATTTTGGCACATATTCTACCGTAAAAAGTTTACATCATCCGTCCGCGATCCAAACGCTTAGGAAAGCTAAAACCATGAGTCTAATGTATCTGAAAGATAATACACATATATATTCGTTTTTTAATAATATACTATATATACTATACAAATGTAGTATATTCGTACCTTTGGCTCCAGGAGTAAGTTTCCTGGTCTAAGATACCGATAGGTAATGTTTCTGGAATGCAAGTATCAAACATTTTTACAACGTAAGTGATACCAAATCGCCATCAAAGTGTCCTTTGTCCCTGAGAACGATCTACAATTATCCATCCGAGCAAGCTCCCATCAGCGTGTATTAGCATGTTGTCACGTTACATTGCGATGACGCTCTATGGGTTTACGTACGATTTATACATTGTTTAGCACTCCTTTATACGTCAATACACCTGAGCAAAAAGCTCCTATAATTTTTTAAATAACTACATGAAATTTCAAGATATTAAGAGTAAATGAGCGAATCAGTAAATGCGACACTGCGGAATGAGTTCTGTAGACGCGACTTTGCAAAAAAAACAGACACAGTTAAAACAGACTTGGTTTGTTTATATACGGATATATAAAGAAAACTATTTAAACGTATTAGAAAATAATACGAGTTTTTGCTTCATCTGCATATGTGCGTTAACGTATTTTGCGTCAGACATCCCATATATATGCACTTGTGGGTTGCAAAACGATTTAGACACAATGAAGTTGAGAGTTCATCAAAATGTAAAAATTGAGAGTGACTACCGACGGACTCACGCAATAATAATATAATTAAGAACATTAGTTTAGAATAATAATAATATTAATAACAATTAATAACATAATTGTTAGGTAAGCTTATCACAATAATAATTCTCAATTTTGGTAGTTGATCTCCCATTGTGTCTAAATCGTTTTGCAATCTACTGTAGAATTCACTGTAGTACGTACCGATAAAATGCGCGTGTCCTGGGCATTTCATTTGGTTTCGTTCCTCGTGTGTGACCGTGTTATTATTCCATCGGCACATTGACCTTCGCCAAATTGTGCCATGCCAGGTGACGATGGTCCGGAGAATTTATAGTATCGTTCCAGTGCCGCAAACGTGCACCCTTGCTGCCGCAACCTAGCATCAAACCGCCTGGAATTTTTGGAAATATATTTCACGAGCGATATTCACGAATCACCTGCTTCGAAGATACATCTTGAAGTAAAAGCCAAAAGAAGGCCAAGAAACGACAAAGTCATGACTGGTCGTACCTATATAATTGTTCCTCTTGAGAAAGACCTTGTCCCAAACTGAGAGACATAGCGTTAACTTTGTCAGCTCCGTTAAAGTGACCACGAAGGAAAACTCTTCATTCCATTCTGGGTTCATAGTTTTTCGTTTGATGCTCGAGCACTGTGAGCTACGTTCGATCTTCCTTTTTACGGTTGTCCTCTTAGTAGCGGTACGCGAGGAATTTGACAATTGCTGCCGGAGTTTATCGATCGCATTCTCGACAAGGGCCAGTTTGACAAACGGGTCGGAGAGCTCGTCTTTGCCTATAGGGAGGAGATTTGCGGCGCGGTGCACAGTAACCAATAGCGCTCTCCGGCGCGTACAATAATTGAGGCTCACTTGGATCACCCCACGGCAACTTAGACACATGCCCCAGGTCTCTTCTTCGTTGTCTACCTGCGCACCGGAATAATTAAGGAATAATCATTGTCAAAGTTTGCTCCGCGCAATTCCGCGAAGTCAGTCTCTATTAATATTTGAATTACATTAAGACATTCTCTCTCTCTTTATCTTTTAGTTTAATACGATTTGTCTCACGTACTTGGTAATGTTCCTGCAAAGGAACCTTGTAGTGCCTTGTTTCGTACGGCCGCAATTCGTGCAGAGGGAATCTCGCCTCGCCCAGAAAGTCTTCGCCAAATGGATCCTCCTGACTGATTAAGATATGTAACGCCTTGCCGGTGACCTAAGCATAAAAGAAAAGTTCCCATCATGAACTCGTAATTATCACTCGCGAACGTATGTAGTCATATTTGTTATGATAATCGATGTATTTGTTTACGTCTGTTTCCGTCAAGCGGTTGAAGTTGATTGTTTGCTGGAACTCGGGGTTGAGCGTGCGGTGCACTGCTTTCGTTCGCACCAGTCTGCTCATCGTTGCCTTCTTCACGGGCAGTATGTTCAGTCTGCAGAAGGGATCGGCATAGCCCTCGATGTCCATAGGCATCAGGCCGTTTGCACATTCTACCCTGCATCGGAGGCACTGATCCGCTGGGTCATATCGCAGGAAGACCTCTAGGGTTCCGTAGTCTTGTCCTGTTTCTGTCTTCGGTACGGGAATTTGAGTTTTTTGTTGTTGTGAGCGTTCAGTGAGACTTCTCTCCATGACTATCATACGATTGTGTTATTCGATTGCAGTCGCGAGACATGATTACTGACCTTGTGAATACTCTGGAGTTTGGATCTTTGGCGACACGACTTGATTGTTCTTGCGAGTGTCGCTGGACGAGCTATCTTGGTCTTGGCAAGACTTACTCGTTTCTCGCTCCGCCTCCATCTCCGGATGCTTGTTTGCCTCTCTAAACTGTTCCGTCGACGTGGCCGCCGCTGGCGTTTTTATTCTGCGGGATGAGAAAAGTTTGCGTAACTTCCATCTCCGATTCGCTCGCTGTCGTCTTTACGTACCTCAGAGATTGTACCTTAAGGCCTTTGGATCGATTTAGGTAGATAGATGCGTTTCTACTCGTCTCCTCGACTGCCTCCCCCTCGTCATTCTCAGCTTCGTTCATCTTCTCGTCGTCCACAAAGGACACGCGTTGCTGAAGTGGACTCTTGCCGCTTGCGGTCGAGCGGAGAGTGCCTTTCGAGCCCGTGGGAGAAATTTGGGACAGACAGGATTTGTTCAGTTTGTCAGGACCGTTCTCGCGGTATCCCAAAGGCGACGAGCCGCTTGGCTTGCCCCGGGGAGTACTCGGCGACGAGGTGCTGCTCGGTACGGGGCTGGAGACAGTCGACTTGACAGAGGTGCGATTGCTCGGCAGGTTTGTGGGCGAGATGGGGTGGCCACGCGTCACCGAGAGCCGTCCCACTTCATCATCCGACGAGGAGTCCTGCTGATCGGTCGATTCCGAGGACCTGTTCTGACGGCCTATCGCCCACGTCGATGTCCATCCGCGCTCCTACGCAAGTTTGCTGTATTAAGTCGATGGAGGATCCACAGAGTGTCCTCTTTTCCTTCCGTAAAACCGTACAGTGTCTTCTTCTCTTTTGAAAGTACTTTAAAGCGAAGTCGTTGTTAAACATATTTCTAACGCGAAACGCTAGCTCGAGATCGCACTTTCGGAATTTCGCGCGTCGTTCATGAGTTCTCCTTACCTTCTTCTTCGGTGGAATGAACTTGGGCATGCTCTTGAAGAACCAACCGCCGCTCCTCATCCATATCTCCCTCGTCTCCGCGCAGATCAAGCAGAGATACTTTCTGTGCGCGTTGCCGTGTGACCATTGAATGATTCGTTGTCGGAACACCATCGCTTGTCCCTGAAGGAACCTAAAGGAGCCTCGCATGGGCGTCTTGCTTTCCTCTCCGTCGGCGTTGCCGTTTCCATCCAACAGATTAGGCTTCGTGATCTCGATGCCGCACTTTTGGCACACGTATTTGCGACAGTCCTTGCAGAGGTTCCCGTTCGCCCCTAGCACCGTACCAAACTTATCGCCGCAGAGGCCGCAGGAGCAAACACAACGACCGTTGATACGGCAGCGTATTCCGCAGTTGCCTCTCTGCCTCGACGTGGCCGACAGCACGTTTTGTTTCACATTCTTCAGTCTTTCCACAAGTTTGCCGACCCGCTTTTGCTCTGACAAGTCCAGAGCTTCGTCCCGTTGTATTACCTACAGAGAAACTTGCTGTCGGTCGCGATTGACTGGAACTAGATCGGTTTCAATCGGAAACTATTTGTGATTTTGCATAATTTTATCGGAACCGGTTTAGCGCTCTTCTCTGTTTGTAAATCGTTTAGTTTCGCCGTACATCAAGGTAAGAATCAAGAGGTTAACAGGTGAAACGAAGTGGACTGCGCGAAGTTTACCTGAATAATCATTTGTCGTTCGTCTTCGGTGAGCAAATAAGGTTGCTGAGTGCCACGACTCACGGCAGTATTTGTATAATGAGGCCACAGACATTCGAAGGATTTCGTTTTCTGAGACCATCCTTTGTTCAATCTAATAACACGAGAAATAACGGAAATAATACGAAATGATTAAAATTTTGGAGGACAGCTTTCATCATGCTTGCTAAACTTGCTTCTCAACTTTTTCGGTCGATAAAAAAGTATCTCTTAATTTTATCATCTATCATTCATCTCTCGATGAGTACACTGAGAGAAAAAATATCTAAGGAATAAAAAAATATTTATTCAGTGAATATTAATGACATATTTATTCAAATTAATATGCATATATGCTTTTACACCGAAGAAAATATTTTTCAAATAAGAAAATATAAATTTTCTTAAAACTTCGACTTTTTATGCAAGCGATTGTTTATTCTATTTAAGTAAAAAATTTTGACTTAAATAAATATACATCATCAGTATCCACTGAATAAATAATTTTTATTTTTTAGATATTTTTTCTCTCAGAGTATGTAGAGCTTCATTAAAATCCGAGGCGAAAATTTTCAACTCACCTAGCACGAAATTTCAATTGTCGATCATCCGGGCAAACCCATCTGCCGCGTGACCAGGCCATTTCTCTGCGATTTATTCTGCATTTAGATTTTGCGATCTTCGATCCGAGATGATTGGTCTCGGGTGTTGCCAAAAAATATACAGAGTCTGCAAATTTCCGAAACAACATGCGGGATCAAACTGTAATCTCTTTCGCGCGTTCGCGAAAGATATATATAAGATAAAAGTACCAATACCTGGACACTAATAACACTGATATTTTTGTTATTTTGGTCTTTAAATGCGAATATTTAAACTTTCCATACAGTATATATATATATATATATATGTGTATATAGAATATATGCATATATTGAAAGTTGAAATATTCGTATTTAAAGATCAAAAGAAAAAGAATGTCTAGGTTAACTATTAGTGTTATTAGTGTTCAGGTGTTGGTACTTTTATCTCACCAGACGATCGGCGCGATCGAACGCGCGACAAACGTAAATTCACGGAGTGTTGCGAGAGAGTTTCCGTGGAAAATTCAATAAATCCTCCACCGCCGCGCGGTCTTGCTATCTGGTGCCATTGTTCATCGCGTGCGCGGATCGTCATCGTATGGTTCAGCGCGGTAAAGAGAACAAAGGAACTCTTAACGAAAGTGACTATATTTGCATCAGAATCGATATTCCCATGGTGCATACCTCGTACACGGCTCTAAGTCTTTTACACTTGTCTTATTAGCGGCGGCGTGTGTGTGCGCGCGCGCTCGCAGCCGCTTTACCAGCGTGTGTGGTGTTATAAAAGGAACAAAGTCGTTGGAAAATGCAGTCCAAAGAGCGCTCTAATGCGCGTGACGGGCGAAGAAAAAAAAAATGCAAAGACAAAGAGTCAGATATATTAAATGGAGAATCTGGTGCGGTTGACGAGATTTCACGCCGGTGTACCTTCGCAAGCGGAGTCTATTTTCTTTGCCGTGTCGTCCAGCGCCTGAACAGTCAAGCAGGCAGGCAGACAGACGGACGCCTCCGACAAATAGGCAAAAAATGAATGTGAAATAAATTCAACTTGCGATTGTGCGTTACGTTGGCGTTGCTGATCGATCGATAACGCTCGTGGCGCTTATCGATATTGCGTGGCGTTCGCGCTGCGTATAAACCACATTATTATTGACTTATTAATAACGAAACAACCACTCTCATAGTTTCTTCGCGCAGAGACGGCCCACCGCTCCTTCTACTTACAAAAGCCACATAATTAAATAATGTAGTCTGCTCGATTAGCCCGCGTGCATAAATTAGATGAAGCTCGCCCTTCCGAACACAGCGTGAATCTTCGCTTCTGGGTGTGTTGAAATCGACGCTCGTAGGATTCGATGTTCACATAGCAACGCGTACCGTACACGCGTGGCGTTTATCGATAACATATCGGCAACGTTGCTCCGCGAAAGCAACAGGAAGCGATATCCCATATGTCTAGATATAACGCGAATAATGTGTTTACGGTATTTTCTAAATTTAGACGAGCTCGAGTGCTGTCCAAGCTATCGTGGAAATCGCATATCTCTCGCAAATGTTAATTAAAGAAACAAAAAATGCACACACGACCAGAATAAACAAATAAATAAAGAGAAAAAAGGTTAGAGTTCGGCCGAAAACTAGGTCCTGATTACACATTCAACGCGACCGTCATGATTAACATAAACGCTCGCGCGGGCGCGTGTACAGGCGTGCGTGTTAATTGGCAAATTGCAAGAAGGAATCGTTGGAACAATTCGTAAAGAGATACGAAAAGAGAGAAAAGAGAAAAAAAATGAAGGGGAAGTCCATGGGACTTACGTTGCGATCGTTAGTAACAGGCCACAACTAGCAGTGTCCCATGCTGGCGCACTTCTCGTCAATTAATCGTTGCGCTAATTAACGTCGTCTCCGATTGTCTGCTGGTGGTCGTGTGACCGCACAGATAGCGGTCGCCGTCGTCGTCGTCCTTCGCGCTGATTTTGTCACAAGCCCAGTCGCCACGAACTGCCACGGTGTCGTCATCCATCCAACAAGTGGGTGCTGACTGCTGGTTGCTGCTATTGTGCTCGCTACTTATACCTTAGGAACTGGCCTTCTATGTGCGCGAGACTCTACTCGGTATCAGCGAGTGCTGGTAAAACGCAGGCTGGAGGGTGAAGGTAGCGTGGGTGGAAAGCTGGCAAGAGTGAGGAAGAGAAAGAAAGGGAAAGAGAGGGAGAGAAAGAGAGATGGGGAGGGAGAGAGAGAGAGAGAGAGAGAGAGAGAGAGAGAGAGAGAGAGAGAGAGAGA